GTCTGCAAGCAGAAGCATCCCTGACCAACAAGTTTCAAAACATGCATTATCAACTTTGGGACACCTTGCTCGTTATCCACAGATGGCAGATGAGCTAATCGACACGAAAGGTTCCATTCAGACAATCTTCTGGGAACTACTCAGGTCTTCATTTAGTTCTCAAGTCTTCTCTTCAAGATTAAAGTTTCATCTTTTCTCACTCTTGCGTTGCTTTGTTCTCCTTTTCAGGAACAAAGAAGAAGCATATTTCATTGCATCAGATGTTCTGAAGAAGATATGCAGTAGCCATAAAGGCGTAGCTGCAGTTCGAAAGCTTCCTGCACTGGTAAAACGGTTACACGCCTTAGTTGAGGAGCTAACTCGTAAGGCAAACATCGAGAAACGGTTAGTTTATTTTTTCCCGTTTTCTTGTCTGAATTGATGTGAATGTTTACTCTGTTACCCTGAACCTAAAACTCTATCTAGAAACTTTGGGTTAGATCCAAATAAGAAAGTATGAATCAAACGTGTCCTAATCTAAAGATATTGTGTACTATTTCAGGAACGTTAAGGGTCAGGCTGGAAAAGAAAAGAGTGAGAGAAGATTAAAAGAAGCTATTGAGCTTCTAAAGCTTATAAGCAGAAGATGATTTAGTTGGTTTTGTTTATCATTCAGTTGGTTTTTTTTCAGACTCGTTGTGTTTTGTTTAGATACAGCATCAATTCTTTTGTCTATGTCTATTATCATGTTTTATATGACTTTGACATGAATCGGATCCAGAAATATTCATGTCGTCAGAAAAGAAGGAAATGTGATTTGGTTCCATTAGTTTACAACAATAACAGGAAAAAACAAACAACCTAAGAAATAGAAATCTCTCAGCTCTTGAGCAGAAGAGCCATACTCTGAAATGTCTTCAAGATCTTCTGCTCCATACTCTGAAATCACTCCATCAGTTTCTAAAAACAAAGACAATGATTAGTATATCTTTTTCAACAAAGATAATAAATTTTAAGGTGAGACAGTAAAGATTGCATGTCTTGTATTGGAATAGGTACAGATGCCATGGAAGTGTTGAGTCTTGCAGCTTCAAAGCAGTGAGCTTTGCCTCCTCCTCAAGACCCTTCACCTTCAAAAGCCTCACAGGCTGTTTCTTCCATTTGGTCTTCGCGGCATCACCAAAAAAAGCTTTGTATTGCTTTGGAGGATCATGGAAGAAAAGCCATGCACAGGGTGGGGGAGTTTGGAAAATCTCTTGACTCCATGGGGCAATATTGAAGATGTCTTTAATATGGAGAAGAGGCACACCCACAGGCAAACCCCCTTCTTGATTGAAGATAGCAACCACGCATAAAGCCTCCATATCGGTAAGATCACTGAACCCACCAAAGCAGTGATGAGGCCTGCTTTGGTGCGAAAAAGACTCGGCCTAGACATTGGCAGGAAAAGACAATAACAAATAAAACTCGCTTGCACAAAATCTGTTCTAAAACTGACATTCATAAATTTACTATGATGATTAATAATCTCAATCATCGTAAACTCTATATATTAATAGTCTCTTATATTATTTAAGTAAAAAATAATTAGAGCATCTAAAACTATTTACTATTGTTTGGACAATTTGAAAACAACATAACACTACAAAATGTGTAATGCAGTAAAAAAATTTGAGAAATAATGTAACGATATAAGAAAAGGCAAACAAAATTAGAATCATAATCAATCTTTTTTTGAGCAGATATATATCAATAAGTAATCTTAACTATATGTATAAATTTAATAATTATTTATTTATGCTATCAGCAGAACCATATATTTTATACAACATTTTATTATTGTATCGAGTATCTTTATTTTTATAAAGGCGGAATCCAAAATTTTAAAAAATTTATGGTTAATTTATAATGTTAAATAATTCGTGGAGGCTTTTTACTTTATTGTGTTTTAATGAGAAGTAATATCTTCCTAGCTTTTTGGACCCCTCATTCCAATGGTAAATCAAGAAAACATAAATTGTCTTCTACTAGCTTCGATAATTGATAGATTGGGACCAAAGCTATCAAGACTCTAGAAAACCTTTCAGGCCAAGACCTTTATAAAAAACATTCACGGCCCACATAAGATACTTATATCCTAAATACTCCCTCCGTTTCATAATATAAGTCGTTTTGGGTAAATTTTTTTGTTTCATAATATAAGTCGTTTTCAAGTTTGTATGCAAATTATATATCACTTTAATATTTTATAATTATTTATATTATGTAGTCTCTTTTATGATTGGCTGAACTTTTTAAAAGTATATATTCTTAATTTGCGTGCTTTTAGCTAAAACAATTTATATTATGAAACGGAGGGGAGTAATAATTATTCTAATCTGCCATCGTTAGATTCTCCAAATGTCCTAATTAAGATACCAATTCCATTCATTAATTTGTACATTCTCCAAACCTTTACATCTGTTAGTGAGTAGGAGAGCTTCTTCAGCATCATTCATTGCCTATCTCTATTATTGTCACAGATTCGTGGTCCGTGATAGATATGATTTCTTCGTCTATGTCTATTGTCACCACTTCTTAAGTAAAAATGATGTAATATGTCAGCTTCGAACAGACAAAAAAATATAGTAACCAAATTTTTGTTTTTTTTTTTGAAACAAAATAGTAACCAAAGTTTATTAAGATATACATATAGAGTGTACATCAAACGAAGAGGAATCAATATGATTTATCGGAAAGTGGAGAAAAAACACACACATAGGAATCTCATAATATTACACGAGTATAGGAATGTAACCTAGCAAGGTCACACGGATAATAGAAAAGATTCTTGATTACATGAGATAAATTGGTCCGATCTATGCTGATTATTGGGAGGAATTAGTAGAAGCAAATTTGAGAGAGACACTGTTAACGCAGTGACGTTGATCGGTAGGAGTAGAGTAACCTTCTCCTTTGAAAACATGGCCTAGATGTCCATCACACACTGAACATGTTATCTCCATTCTTCTTCCACCTGCTTCTGGCTGTATATATACATTCATAAAGAAAAACATCAAATTATTTATAAAAATTATATATTATATGAGTTTAAAAGGGTTTTGACGGATTGCTAACAATTATAGAGAAGAGTCAATTAATTACAGTTTGTTTAATAGCACCGGGGATGGCGTCGAAGAACGCCGGCCAGCCGCAACCGGAGTCGAACTTAGTGGTTGATTTATAAAGAGCAGTTCCACAACCAGCACAACTATAAGTCCCTTCCTCGAACTTCTTTGTATACTCTCCTTTGCCTCGTTTACTAAATCACCAAATTAACCATTACAACATGCTCAGGTAACTTACCACACAAGTAAACCGAAAAAAAAAAACCCTAGAGGACTTACTCTGTGCCTTTTAGTCTAAGAACCCTAAACTGCTCAGGAGACAGAACCGCACGCCACTCCTCTTCTTGTTTCTGGAAAGATCTAGTTGCTGGAATTGCTGCCGTGGTCATTGCTGCCATGACGAGAATAGGATTTGTTTATGTAATGATGCTTGAGGGATCGAAGAGAAAGTGATTAGCAATTTTGATTGTGATTAAAGGCTTGGTTTAAATTGTGATTCAACATGAAAATGGCTTGGGGTATAAATAGGCTTAGACAAGAATATTTCTTAAGGAGCTCATGAGAATCTTCCAAAGAAACTATACTAAACAAATAATAATAATAATTTAGGTAACAGCTAATTAACGCGATAGATCTAGATTTAAAATATTTAAATTGAGGTTGTACTTTTGGACTTTTGACTGTGTTTAAGTATATAATAGTATTCATTTGATCACGTTGCGAATACATTGTTTTCCATTTTATTGTATTATTGCCTTATTGTCAGTGGTCACGTTTTTTGCCTCTTAAAATTCTGGCTCCTTGGAACATCTTAAAATATTAAGTTAAGTGCATTTAATTATTTTTTCCATGAGATTACGTAAAACATTGTCTTTTCTCTCTCCTTGATAAAACCAAACAAAAAAAAACTAGACTTGTGAAAAATATTTCAAAGCAACTTCGATGTAGAAGAAAAAATTTTGACAGTTTTTTTTCTTTCTTTTTTTTGTTAAAACTTGGAAGTTCGATAGATAAACACACAAAATTATAATTTATTGTCTGTATTGGCAAAGGAAATTTAAACCTAAATATGCATTAAGTTTTGTAAAGCTTATACTAACTTGTTAAATTTAAGGATTACGAATGTGTTAAGTTTTCTTCATTAATTTCTAAGCAAAATGAAAAATAAAGGTAAAGATTACTGCGCAATTGGTCCATGGGCTTGACCAAACAACACGGCCTTACCACACAGTTAGACTCAGACAAGTTAAACAAAGCGTGGTCAAATACTCCAGTACCTGAATACATGTTTAAAAGCTTTTGTACATATTAAAAAAAAGAATATAAATGTATAAAAAAAAAAGGATTAAGCAGAAGACCAATGATTCAATATATAAATGTATTAAATATTCATTTATGAGATTATGAAACAACTGCCTTTGTTAGAATTAATTTCATATAATCACTGAAAAAACTTGCCAAATGTTGAGTTGAGCCTAATTTCTTGGATTCGTTGTATGTTCTGACGGAAAACACGTTGATCGAACGTCGGGTCATATAACAGGTCTGAGAAAAACTCATTTAACCATTTCATATATGTTGGATACTTTAGGTTTAGGTATATGCTCATTTGTCCTTATTTAAACCAAAGTCGTTGTTTTCTCATTGTCCATGAACAAAGAAACCAAAAAAAAAAATTACAAGAACTCCCAAAATCGATTATAATAAAATCTGACAGCTTCTTCTACATCATTTTATTGCCTACGTCTATTATCCCAGCTTCTTGATTCGTGTTAGATCTTTTCGTCTGTGGCTATTGTACAAAAATAAAAGATGTTGTAATTGATATGTTGGCTTCTAATAGACATAAAAAGAACAAAAAATATAAATTTTATTTATAGTAACCAAAGTTTATTATAACTGTAGAGCGTACATTGATTGAACGAAGATTTATTATAGTATTACATGAGTAGGAATGTAAACTAGCAAGCATCTCACGGATCATAGAACATAATTCTTTGATTACATTAAATAAATTGGTCCGATCAATGATGATTAGTGGGAGGAATCAGCAGGAGCGAATTTGAGAGAGACACTGTTAACGCAGTGACGTTGATCAGTTGGAGTAGAGTAACCTTCTCCTTTGAAAACATGGCCTAGATGTCCATCACACACTGCACATGTTATCTCCATTCTTCTTCCACCTGCTTCTGGCTATATATACATAAAGAAAAAACATCAAATTAGTTATATAAATTATATATTATATGAATTTAAAAGGCTTTTGGCGGTTATAGCTATAAATTATAGAGAAGAGTCAATTAATTACAGTTTGTTTAATAGCACCGGGGATGGCGTCGAAGAACGCCGGCCAGCCGCAACCGGAGTCGAACTTAGTGGTTGATTTATAAAGAGCAGTTCCACAACCAGCACAACTATAAGTCCCTTCCTCGAACTTCTTTGTATACTCTCCTTTGCCTCGTTTACTAAATCACCAAATTAACCATTACTACATGTTCAGGTAACTTACCACACAAGTAAACCGAAAAAAAAAAACCTAAAGGACTTACTCTGTGCCTTTTAATCTGAGAACCCTAAACTGCTCAGGAGACAGAACCGCACGCCACTCCTCGTCTTGTTTCTGGAAAGATCCCGTTGCTGGAACTGCTGCTGTGGTCATTGCTGCCATGACGAGAATAGGATTTGTTGATGTAATGATGCTTGAGAGATCGAAGAGGAAGTGATTATATAGCTTTTGTTTGAAGTTTAATTGTGATTCAACATGAAAATGGGTTGGGTATAAATAAGCTTAGACAAGAATATTTCTTAAAGAGCTCGGGAGAATGATCTTCCAAAGAAACTATGCTAAACAAATAATAATAATAATTTAGGTAACAGCAACGCAATGAGGTAGTGCTTGTGGACTTTTGACTGTGCTTATAATATATTTCATTGTATCACGATGCGAATACATTTTTTTCCATTTTATTATTTTAGCGGTCACGTTGATTCCCTTTGGTCGTTGAAATTTCAAAGTCTTTCGTTGACAGAAAAAAAGATTAAGTTATACGAGCCTCTATGTTCATGAGATTATGAAAACATTGATTTTTCTCTCCATAATTAAAATCTTTATAGACTTTGGAAATACTCCAAAGCAACTTCGCGAACGATCGTTCTATTAAAAAAAAAAAGTTTGATATTTAAATTACAAATTTAAATTCTGACTCGCTGAAATTTACAAGTCTTTGTTGAACATATATATATATAAAAGCAGTAGTTTCTTCTCTCCATGATTAAAAAAATATAGACTTTCCAAATATTCCAAAACACTTCGTCTTATAAGAAAACAGAAATAGATATATAATTAACTAAAACATAAATTAAATTTTATTGTTTGTGTTGGCAAATAAACTTTAACCTATATATGGTCCGATTGGTAATACAAAACGGTATTTATATTTTTAGCGAGTAGAAAAAACTAAGTAATATCATAATAGTTCAAACAGTATTATATAGTTGTAAAATATAATAGTATGAAAATGTCGAAAATAACATTTTTAATGATGTTTTTAATATAGTTTTTGTGATTAGTATTTGTTAAAAAAGTATATTATATTCCATATTGTCAATCAAATCTATACGCAATTAGTATATAAGTTTTTTTTTTATGTCAACTTAACATTAAACTAGCGGAGAAGACCCTGCCTGGTCAGTATATTGTAAGTTTTTAGTAACTTGTTAAATTTAAAGATTATCGAATGCGTTTATTTTTCTGTAACTATTTGTTAATTTATAAACAAATAAATGTATCTCGTTATACTTGGTCCACGGGCTGGAATGGATGACCAATCCCACAAGTAAGACTCAGACAAGTTGAGCAAAGCGTATTAAATACTCTCTACCTGATTAACACGTTTAAAAGCTTTTGCAATTATTGACCCAAAAAAAATGAAAATGTACTCACTATGTGTGTATTAGGCTAGTGTGTATATACAGATTAATATGTTATGCAATTACAAATAAACATACAAATCTATAGAATTCAACTTAGACATATAATTTTATTCTAGTGTTAGGCTGGTAACAACACCCAAATTCAAATTCGCATTTTAATGTTTTATTCGATGAAAAATTATTTATTATGATGCCCCTAATATTTTTTCCATCTGAGTATCTAAGTCAGTTTAATGTTTAAAATTGGACTGGTAAGTTGAACTAGACCGGAGTTGTAAGTCTTTGTATATGAGGACTATTTCAGCCTTTATGTGAAGTTTCACAATTATTTCGCGCAGAAAATGATAACAATGAATTTAGATAAGACATTTGAATATACATAAATGCGTTTGGTGTTGGAAATTTTTGAATTGGGTGGGTGGAAGAAAAACTATACATTAATGTTAAATTACTTTTGCATGACATTTCGCCTAAATGGCCATGATTCCAAAAACGCTACCTCTACGCCGTCAAATTTCCAAGACATTTCTCCTAAAAGTATATTGGCAGCGAAGGAAAATCCCTTTACTAGAATATTGGCATATGCCTCCACAAACGCATTTACCTACTAATTATTCCTAAAACGGTCGATATGTCGTCGCAACATAGAGTTCAAGGAGAGTAGTCGGAGGAGGGCACATAACGTGACTTCCCCGGAGGTACCGAGGAAGAGGTTCGATGGAGAGTACGTAGCCGATCCTTTATAGTACGATCAATCAAGGGTCCGACCGTCCGAGCCGGTGAGATGGAGCCGTACGTGTGTATATTGGTATCATTTGTGAGATGGACTGATTTATGGTTTTTCTTATTGGTATCCCAAATTATATTTTTACTTTTTGATTAGGTTATGTAAAATGAAAACGTTTAGTCTAATGATAATTCGAAACGTATTGCTTTAATTCAAATAGAATATTCATTGAATAGATTGGTATATAGACCCACAAATTAATGTACATATCAAATTCTTATCTGTTAAACTTACTAGTTGGCCAATATATTAATAAGTGTAATCTGTTGGCTTCGAAAAGAGGAAGAAAAATAATAACTCTAAATTTGGAAATTTCATAATAATAACCAGATAGGGACATAATTGAACAAATAGTTGGATAATAAATTGGAAAGTGAAGACAACAACAACACACACATGAATAATAGTATCACATACACATATGAGTAGGAATGTAACATAGCTAGCTCACACGGATCAAAGAATATTGATTTCGTGATCTTGCGAGAGATATAATATATGAAGTGGTCCGATCATTAATAATAGAATCTCTAAATTTTTTTGGAGGAATCTGTAGAAGAGAATTTGAGAGAGACACTGTTAACGCAATGACGCTCGTCGGTAGGAGTAGAGAAACCTTCTCCTTTGAGAACATGTCCAAGATGTCCATCACATACTGAACATGTTATCTCCAGTCGATTCTTACCTACTTCTGGCTAAAATACATAAACAAAACATAACATAATATAATTTAGATAACAATCTTCTTATATGGTTTTTGATATAAAAAATGTGCAAATGAGATAGTGTTTTAGTAATTACAGTTTGGTTAATAGCACCGGGAATGGCGTCGAAGAATGACGGCCAGCCGCAACCGGAATCAAACTTTGTGGTGGATTTGTAAACAGCAGTACCACAACCAGAACAACAGTAAGTCCCTTCCTCGAACAATTTGGTATACTCTCCAGTGCCTCGTTGCCTAAACCACAAAACACATTACAACATTATAAGAAATTTTTTACTGTGCAAGTAAACCATATATAGTAGAAATAGGAAAAGACATAAAAGGCTTATTCCTTTTTGTCTGAGAATCCTAAACTGCTCAGGAGACAGAATCGCACGCCACTCCTCGTCTTGTTTCTGGAAAGATTTAGTAGGTGGAGCTGCTGCTGTCGCGGTCATTGCCATGACAAGAAATGGATCTGTTTGAGAGATCGAAGAGGAAGTGATTAGCTTGTGTTTTAAGTTTTGTGATTCAACATATAGAATGAGTGGGGGTTTATATAGACGTTAAGATTCGAAACTAGACAAATTTGGTAACAGCTAAGATAAGAGGGGGAGAGAGAGAGGTGGTAGTTGTGGACTTTTGTTTATTTTTGGTAAGAAGGTAGTTGTGGTCTTTTTTGGCTTTGGCTGTGGTTATTATGTATGAAATTATTTTATTTTATTTTATCAACCACAATGTATGAAATTATTTTATTGGTCACGTTTTAATATTTCCATCTTATAAAATATATTATTTATATTATATACATAAATCTTGACATACCGAATTTATGATTGTATCCTATATCATAAATTAAAATATCTACTTTTCATATTATAAAAAATATATAATATAGAAATATGCAGATCAATATAATGTCAATTTTAACATTGGATTAAGTTTTAAGTATATTGCAAGATCATTATTGGTCTATATATATAGAAAAAAAAATTGACATTGAAACTATTCCAAAGCAACTTCGTTCTATAAGAACAAAAAAAGGTTCAATTATTAACTTATTGTTGGTAAACGAAAGGTTAACTTCTTTTTTGGACTTTAGTGTCAGCTTTTAGCTTCCATTAATGGAAAATAAAATGTAGTCCAAATCGCTCTTACTATTGATCCATTATCCATAGGCACCATAGCTACCAAATTATCCCTACCAGAGTAATGAGTAATGACTCCCACAAGTTGGGCAAAGCGTAACACTCTACCCGTTTTTTATTTCTTTTTTATATGTTTCAAAAACTTTTGTACGTATTAATAAAATAAAAAAAATTGTTTGAATTTTTTAACGTAAGTGGTGATGCACTGATGCCTTTTTTTTAGCGTAACTTCTTGATTCTAGTCATTTACACTTGTCTGAGTTCATGTAAGTCGAATTTAACATTTTTATCATAGTCGTTCGTTGTATTTTTTTTATGCTATGATTTTGATCGGTACGTAACCAAATTTTATGCGAGTTCTGATTTTCTCAAAATTTAAAGGGTTTGACGATTTTTTTTTTTTTTTTTAACTTAATACTTTTTTGTTTCATTTTTGTGAATTCCTAATTCAAATGGAAAACGTGCAACCTTATTGGCAATAAAAGAAACTCCCTTTAAAAAATGGGCATAAAATATATATACTACCTACTAATTAAACATTTAAATAAAGATATGATAAAACAAAAGCCAAATTTTATTATATAGGACTTGCATTGAACATATCAAGGGTCAATGGAAAGATAACAAATAATATAATTATTAAAAAGAAATTCATACAAGGGGGACAAACAACAATCAGGAGAGCGAGCATATCACACATGACTAGGACTGAAACATAACAATCTCAAACAATCACACTTGATTTTCAAATTTTCTTGAAAGAGAGGAATTGGTCCAACAATATATAGTGGTCATCAATATGGACTTATTGGGAAGAAATTTCGGAGAACTTGAGAGAAACACTGTTGACGCAGTGACGCTCATCGGTCGCTGTGGGAAAACCTTCTCCTTTGACAATATGACCTAAATGTCCATCACATGCCGCGCACGTGATCTCCATTCTTCTCCCTCCTGCCTCGGGCTGATAGAGATATTTTATAAACATAAAACTTGTTTAATCCACAATCTTTATTACTAAAATAATTGTGTGTCATAAAAGAAAAGAAAAATATCATGTCAATAATTACCGTTTGTTTAATGGCACCAGGGATAGCATCGAAGAAGGAAGGCCATCCACAACCAGAGTCGAACTTAGTGGTGGACTTATAAAGAGGAGTTGCACAACCAGCACAACTATAGATTCCGTCGTCGAAAAGTTTGGTATACTCTCCTTTGCCTCGGTTTCTATACCAAAACCATTACAAAAATCAGGAGGACCATCTTAAAGTAAGTTCATTTGGTAAGTACTGGCTAAATCTTGGACTAATACCGAGATATCTAAAACATTATGGTAATCGTAGTTGTTTTAAGAAAGATGCAAATGAAATTATAACTTAAGAAGTTAAATGTTTAAAGTGTTTTCTTACTCTGTGCCCTTTTCCCTGAGAACTCTAAATTGCTCGGGAGACAAAATCGCACGCCAGTCTTGATCTTTTTTCTGGACAGATCCAGTTGATGGAGCCACTGATGTTGCTGGTGTTGGCATGATTACGGTTGATAAGAGGCTAAGAAGGCAGTGGAGAGATGGACGTGTGTTTTGAGCTCTTTTAAGAAAATAAAAGAAGAATTGATTTTGTGAGTGAGTAGAACTACAAAGGAGTGGGTATATATACGCATAGACAAATCATATTTTATTTTATTTTCGTCTAAAATGTGACAATAAGAAACTTCCTAACAACTCAGAAACCATAATAAAAAAAATAAGGTTACAACTCACACGTAGATCTAGATCTAATTGACCACATGGATATAATAGAAAGGTGACAAAAAAAATAAAAAAAAATAATTACAATCTTGCCAATGCTGTGTGGACTTTGATGGTAATTGTCAGGTTGTGTAAAATTTGCTCCTCTTATTTGTCTCCTTACATATGTAGAAGCCTTTTGTTGACTAAAGCCTTGTTTTCATTTCCTTGATACTTCCCGTAGAATATATAATGTAACACTAACACTAAGTTCATATTTTTGCATGAATAAATATGGGTATAGGAGTATAATTTATAACATAACAAAAAAACACGTTTTCATGTTATATATATGTAAAATTTGATGCTCTTCTTCTTTTACTTATTAACGTCTGATCCAAAGAAGAAGCCTTGTGGTTGTGTAAAACATTTTTCAAACGTTGAAATTTAGGTAATTTGATCGAAATAATAATAATCTTTGGATGGAAGACTAAAATAATGAAGTTTTGACAAAGAAATATTTTCTTTATAGCGTAAAATTTAGTATTAATGGTCAAGTAAACGCATAAGACATGCATGATACTACTATTTTGAGCATTTTCCAAAAATAAAATGAGAACGTGATTATGAAGACTCCATGCCGTACATTTGCATTAATGTGTCATTTCCAGATATCTCAAGACATTTCTCTCATACATGTTTTAAGAACTATGTATACTTTGGAGGTAAAACAAAAAAAAATGTATGAGAGAAATGTCTCATAGCTCTACAATATCTTATTTTTCAGCAACAATTAATTAGGCATAATATTATCTTTTCCTAGCTAGTTGTGATATTTTAATCTACAAAATGTATTAAGTAGATGCTGACACTACACAATAATTTTTCGTATATGTTCTCCTCTCCAAAACATGCAATATGGTGTAATTATCTATTTATTTATTGTCCTGAATGGGATTGTTAGTGCATGAGACATGTGAACACATGAAACTCCAATCATATTAATTTATCAAAAACTATACAATAATGCTCAGAATGAAAGTCTAATCATTTACCAAAAATTGCAATAATGATCCTGGACAGGTAGATAGATCACGTGAAAACAACAGCAATACTAATAAAAATGGTAGTACCAGGCCAATCAATATAGATAACATATGATTAAATACCGATTAATGTAGAAACGGATTGTGACACACGGTTTTCAAACTTTTATTTATCTATTATTGTTAGCTATCTCATTTTGTGGAGTAAAGATGTATTATCAGTAAATACTAATGGCTATATGATTTTTTCGTAATTAAGTAGTTATAAAAAAAAAAAGATCGTAAACTAAGTACACTTCTCTGTTTACTAGCTTTATCATTAGATTCTATGTATTCTTCAGTATTTCCTAATTATACATTACATACTTGACAAAAAAAAATGCATTTATGAATTTATTAGCAACTTGCAAAGTCGAACCAAACTAGTTTATTAAAAATATCATACTATCTTCTTCTAATAAATGTATTATTTATTGTAGAGGACCGTATATTAGAGAGATTTTGTTGCTTAAAAAAAAACAAAAACCAAAGAGAGAGAGATCTTAATGAGCAAATTCAGATGTGGTCCAAGCTAGTAATTATTTAGTGGGGGAAGATCTATGATTATCTATAGAGTTTTTTTTCTATAGATATTCGCATCAATGCATCGTAACTTACAGCAAATTCTCGGGTGTTGCTCGTAAGGTCGTCAACTCGTAATGTAAAATGTAAATCGTGTAGTAAATCAAACTACTAAAAAATTTAGTTGATACTAAAAATCTATGGCAAAGTTCCACATACGTTTCTATAATTGAGAGTTCTACTTGCACAACAAAAATCTAGTTTTACCGGCATCAATATCGCTCACGATATATAATTTTACCAATAACAAACGAAACAAACTGTTTTATCTACATCACCCTATAAATTTCCGGTATACTCGATTTATTACAAATATTTCACATTCTTTTAAATTCAAATTACAAATCTGATATACTGTAAAAGCATTTAACAAACTTATTAAATGTAAAACAATCTTGCTAGTACTCACTCACTTCAGAGGAGTCACGAAGGAGTTAATGCTGACAGCTGTGATTCGATGTACAAAACCAAATAGCTCGACACATAATTATTGCGAGCCCATAATTATTCTTTCATTGCAAGTGTTAATTTGTTAAATAGATCCTCAAAGACAGCAAAATCTTTCTAACAAAATAGATGTACAAACCCAGATATGTAGTTATAATTCTATAGGTTTGCATTTTAATCATTGTTAAAATCAATTTCTCTTATGATATATAGTATATTATTGGTCACTGCAGTATTAATATACTGATTGTCTTGGAATATCATATTATCATAGGTTGGTCTTCTTCTTACATGACTGCTAGTGTAAACCTCCTTATATTAACAACGCGACGCAACTAAAGAAATCTTACGTATGTAGCTTAGTCATATATCACAATAGAAGTTAGTGACTAGTATCAAAATATATTATTTCAACGACCATGTATATATTATTGATTTCAAACATCGTTTAAATATGATTAATAAGGAGAAATATTAAATGCGCCTCAAAATTGAAAACAGTCTGTGAACATTTTTCTCCGTTCATACTGTGTATTTGTGTAATGGTGAACACATTTCAAAACGTCAGCCACATTTTTTAGGAACATTGTAAAATTGCGGTTATGACACAAAAAAAATTGTGAAATTATATATTTTTTTGCAAAAACCATAGAATTAAAATTTGGCAGAAAATTGTGATGAACTCATGTTTTCAAAATCGCATCGTTTCCAAACTGCAATTCTCACATTAAAATCTCAATTACACATTAGTCACACTCCTATTTGGACATATGTAAACATTTAACAAAATAAATGCAACTAGATGTTAAGAATGAAAAAGAAGCTAAAACTCTAGGTGGTAAAAATATCTGTTAACAAAAAAAAAAATCTATGTAGTAAACAAAGAAACCCTGTATTTAATATTCGATGACTATATAAGTATGATTTTGGCAGGTAATTTGAAGAAAAGACTTATAGTAAGTTTGATCAAAATAGAAAAAAGAAAGAAAAAAAAAACTTATAGTATATAAGTAAGAATTATTGGTGCACTTTGGTTTGGTCCAATATATTATCAGTGAAGTTTGGAAGAAACCGTTTCCAGATAACAATAATCATAGATTTTGTATTTTAAAATGTTTCAAATTTTCTTTTATACCACGCTATGTTTTCTTAACACAAATTATTACTTTTAGTTTAGATGATACGCTATGCTAGTTAACCTTTTGTTTAATTCCACCAAAATTTTTAACCTTTTGTTTAATTAGGTAAATAATAATGATTTCCATTAGATAATACAATCATTTGGATTGGAAAACAGTAACACACATGAATTTTACAGAAAAGTAACATGCTATTATCTCGAACGACATATTATTTTATTCATGTAATGAACTTTTAAAAAATAACATGTTATGTAGAGAATATTTACAATGCAATTGGTCGTATTATATTACTATATGATAATGCACTAAGTAATAAAATAACATGATTATGGGGAAACGTAACAAAAAAAATAATAAAAGAAACTTTTGATTACAACGTTGCCACTTGATCATTTTAGTTTAATAGTATAAAAATAGTATTTATTTTGTTCAGAAGTGTTCCACAATCCACCATTGTGTGAACCTTTTTGTTGCTATCTTAATTTCTCACTTTTTTTTTTAAGAAGATGACGAAAGATGTTATTGCTTTTTGAAGTCTTTGCCAATTGCCAGTGTGTAATAAATTTTTATAGTTGTATAGTATTATTATCTGGTGAGTGCATGTGAGTTTTCAAATTTGAATGTTTATTTATATCATATTTATCAGTGGTTAGTGGTTATCAAGAACACCAAATTAAATATTTCTGTAAACGTAAAATAAAAGAATCAAATCGAATAAGCAGATCTTTAGTTGACCGTCATCAATTGTCATAGAACAAATATAAGGATTTAATAGTACTAATCAGACCAGGTAGGCGAATTTCCTGAGAAAAAAACGTGTGAGAATTGACAAAAGAAAACAAAATGAAAATTCCACTACACGTCTACCTACTATACTCTTGTTTGTTTCCAAAATATCACCAACATTGTTAACTACCAAAACATGATTCTGCAGAAATGAAGCCTAAAAATTATTGAAACTGCCCCCACACATTATTATTAACGTAAGTCTTTAGGGGCATGATTTGTTTCATCATCCGAGTATTGTTTTGGAATTGGTTTCCTAGATGGCACCGAGGCCCGACAAAAACATCATCGGCATGTGAATGAATCATCATTTGGTGTTATGTCTTTAATTTTGGATTTTCAATACAGAAGTTTTTTTTTTTAAATGACTTTGGGGGTCAACTTTACTTATTAAAACATCAATACAATTTAGATTCAAATTTGAGTAAAACAGGTTTCTATAACTGATTTTTGATAGAGGAACTAAAATTTCTTTGACAAAAAAAAAGAACTAAAATTTCAAACTGATTCGAAATTAAAAGAATTTATTATACTCGAAATTACGAGGCTCCAATTCTTTTTAAAAATTTTGGACAAAAAAAAAGAATAACAACTCGGATTTTCCAAAGCTTGGCTTGGCTAGTGGTGCATGAGTGGTGACGAGTAATTTTCTAAACCCAAAAGAAAAAAAAAAAGCCTTCAATTTTTTAAATTTCAAGTGGTAAAGTGAATGTGACGATTTTGGTTAGTTGAGACTTGAAACGAGCTCTCGATGAAAGAAGAAGTTGATAAAGTGCTCATGTGTAAGCAGAATTTAACTTCAGATCCAGCAGCCATCAAATCAAAGGATCTGATGAACGCACAAAAGAAAAGCTTATTAGTGGACCAAACAAACCACCAAGGCCTTTCTTTTGCTTAATTTTAAAATTGTGTTTTACATAGAGGCATTAAAAGTTTTTAAGGCTTATCTCTTAAGTTTTTCTTTTTTAATCTAACTTCTTTTATTTATTGTCCATTGGGATCTTCTTCTTTTTTTTTTTTTTTTTTTTCTTTTCTTATAACCCACTTGGGAATAATATAAAAACATGCAAGCTTTGTGAAATGTAACTTAACTTTTAATGGTTCTGTCTCACATGTAAACAAGGTGTGTAACATTGGTGCTACGAATACTACTGTGAACCCCCAACCGGGTGTTTAACTAAGCCATTCTGGAGGACAGTGACCCCAATCTCTATGATGAAGCTAGGGCTAAGGTTAGGGTGGTATTCACATTAGTGCATAGTGCTTACCATTCTTCAGCAAAAAACCTCTAGAAAACAATGGAAACAAGTATAAGATTACTGAAGCTAGCGGTAAGATCCTTCTACGTTGACCGGTGGTATGTATGGTGAATACGTGTAGTGTATTGGAACAAGTAGAATAGCGGCAAGTTATGTTCCACGACCTAAGTGTTGAAGAGCTCTATAAATGAAGCTTTCCATGTGACATCGGTTATCAACAATTAAGTACCCCTCATATTGGCACGACTTCAAATGTTATATTAAGCACAAGAAGCATTCGATGACCATGTCCATGGAGCAATATGAGAGTTTAAGGGAACATCCAACTGGCTTTAAAGTGGTATGATGTATCCAAAGCCAACAATGTTGGAAGCCCATGAAACTTAGCAGAAACAAACAACTAAGGATGGAAGGACAACATTGTCATATAGTAGAGGATAGAGAGATATACATAAACAACACCAATCTGTTTAGTTCAACTATTTCGGTTTGGTCTTGGTACACATACCCATGCCAAAATTCTGTTTGAGAATTGAGATCAAGTGCTTTGAGTAACATTATTAACTTTACCAACCTGACGATACAAAAAGTCTGGAGACTTAATTCAGCGCCCTTATTATTAGCCATCAAAACTAAACACTAGTCTCACCGACAAAAGACAAAAACACAGTACGAGAGAGACAGAGAAGCATCACACAACACAACCATATTATTTATTACATGTTTTTTTCTGATCATATTATTACAGGGTTGGGTTCTCTGGTGTGAACTTGAGAGAGATACTGTTTACACAGTGTCGCTCATCGGTAGGAGTAGGGAAACCTTCTCCTTTAAAAACATGACCGAGGTGTCCTCCACAAGCTGCACATGTGATCTCGATTCGTCTCCCATCTGGATCGGGCTGAGTAAAAATGTAAAAGATGTTTTCAGCAATCAGTTTCTCCAATCATAAATTTCCAGTGATAATAATCTTTTGATTGAGAAATCTTACAGTTCGGTTTATAGCTCCGGGGAGTCCAGTCAAAGAAAGCTGGCCAGCCACAACCGGAATCGAATTTGGTGGTAGATTTGTAGAGAGGAGTTCCACATCCTGCACAACAATAGATACCGTCGTCGAATAGTTTGTTGTATTCTCCTGTTCCTGGATATCTGCATCACATATGTAGACCATTAGAATAATGATGCTTATAGATTCACATAAACTTGGGACCTTGCCTTATAGCTCTACTTCACAATGTATAATATTCATTGATCCTTTAACCTCAGAGAAGACTCTACTTAAACTTATTTGGCTTCTCGGTGTTAATGTTACAAAACCAAGAAAGACCATTAAGGAAAACCAAGTTAAGACACAAGACTAACGAGTATTTTCATGTCACACAGAGCAATCCTTCCTGAGAACAATCCTAAAACTAAGGTTCATAGCAACTGAGAGACAACCAGATACAACAGCATCATAGTTTTAATATCAGAAGAAAAAAGTGAAAAACTTTGAAAATTTGTTAAACACTCTAATCTTTCAGAAAATGTGTCTCCTAATTGCTAATCTAAGGATCAGGTAACAACATTTATTCCACAAAACTCAATTTTCATGAGAGGATTAGTAGCAATTCATGCTCAATGTATCAAATCACTGTATAGCAAAATATTGCGCATAATGAGAAGAATCTAAGACAAGACTCTCGCATGCAAATCACTGGAACACCAATCACCAAGTAAACTTCAATAAAACCCAGAAAGCATTCTCTGTTATACATTTATAATCATCAAACTCTCAAATTTTATCAAGCTAAATACCTAATCAAAAATCGAAATTCAACACATGCAAGAACACTATCCTGAAACAGAACACTCAAAACTCCCAAAACCAAACCAAAACTGAGCCAAGAAAACACTTACTCAGTGCCTTTCTGTCTGAGAATCCTAAATTGCTCAGGAGAAAGAATCGCACGCCACTCTTCTTCCGGCTTATTGACAGATTCAGGAGCAGAAGAACCCATTGCCACAATACGACCACCGTGAAAACCTCGACGGAGGAGGACTTTAAGATGAGACGGAGACGAAGCAAATCCGGTGGTGGTTTTGAGAGAGAGAGAACGTTTAACGAAAGCAGATTTAATGGTGGAAGCGAAAGTGAGAGACGTGGCTGAATAAACACGACCAGGTGTTATGATATTGAACGCCATTGATGGCTCTCTTCCTTCTTCTTTTGACAACAGCTTTTTCACAGATTCTCTCTATCTTTGTTTAATTGTTTTTGACTTTTTGTGGGGAACACTCTTCTAATTTGGGCCTCATTTTAAGGCCTTTTTAGCCCAATCTCTTACCTCAAGGCCCCAACTTCTGCGAGTAATTTACCTTGGTACCCCTACTCGAAATTGATTGGGGTTAAATGAGGCCCATGTGATGAGCCCTGACAAAAGCAAATTTCGAAGTTAAGTCCACATGGAAAAAAGAAGCAACTAACGGCTGGTGAGAGAAGAAGAGTCGTTCGTATTTAAAACATGAGCATGAATATTTTGACCTCAATAAAGGGACTTTTTTGTGATTGTCAATTACATTCATATTCTTCTTTTTCCAACCTTACGCAATTGTGCAGACCGGAATTAATCAGACGGTGGTTCCATACAATGAAAAAAATCGAGATTGGAACCAAAATTAGTAAGTGGGTTTTTTTTTTGCTTGAATAATTTTGTATAGGTTTCGCCGATTTTTTTTGTAACCATCGATTTCGACAATTGTTTTGTTTGTGACGAATCAAAATCAGCTTCACTAAATCAAAGGTCAGAATATTTTCTCTAAATTTTCCTTATTTTTCTTGGAATTTTGTAGTGTACCCGAAAGTGAAAGCTGACAATGAAGCTGGTAGTTACAAGTATAAGGGTTCTTGTCTGAGCTCGAACTATCTCCAAACTCGTGTCTCTGGTAATTTCTCTGCTTTTGGTCCCTTTAAGTTGGACTCTCTGTTAGATTCAAAGCTAGATCTTTGAGGTTGACTAGGTTTTACTTTTACATATATGTTTAGGAACATTGACTTGGTTTTTGATAGAGATCAATTCTATGTGTTGGAAGAGTTGAGTTATTAGTGCTTGTTGCCAATTTAAATCAAATGCAAATTTTCAGAAGAATCTATTTTCTTACATTTTCTCTTTTGTCATTTGGTCAGAGAATAATCAAGACGATGATTTTCAAATATATGTGGCTAAGATTCCAAAGATTTACATACCAAGTGTCCTCATGTCTGAAAGTGAATCCAAAGAAATGAATAAGCGTATTAGAGGAGCTGACATTGAAGTAAAACCAACAACCAAAGCCAGTCCGATCTTACGCCCACGCGCTGTTGTTTCAAGTCCCGGTATTGTTTTCGAGCTGCTTTTCTATCTATGTTGTCACACAATGTTGAACTTTATATATCGGAAACCATTACTCTGCTTTCTAATTCTGTTTTTTAGATAATGATGCAATGATCGGCAATATCAACATGATCGAAGAAAGGAAAGCTAAGAAGGGTTTAAAGAGAGATGATCATATCAGGAGCAGAGCTTCTCAGCCTAAGAATATTGATACTAATGTGAAGATTTCTCATCGTATAGTCGCTAAGCAATCAGGACTCAATTCAAGGGATCACAAATGATCAACTTGTTTTGAAAACGTAATCCCACTATTTTTTTTACCTTTCACCACGTTTTTGAAAAGTAGTACTGCTATATATGATGCACATGTTAAAAATATAACTGAAAATTAAATAAAAAGTCATCCATCTATTCAAAATATACTACTTTTTTTTTTGGTAGTATTATTTAGCATAAATTTTGTTTTCGTTGTTATGTCATTGACCAAACATACCAATCATCATCTTAATCATGCGAAATAATTGGTTTGATATTTATTCTAAAATCCATTTTTCAAATTTGTTTTGGAAAATGATTGGCTTCGATTGGTCATCGGAGGAAAAATGAACAAAATGAAATTTGAGGAATCGAATAATGTAATTTCACATAATAATTGTTTTTAAGATAATAAAATATCATTAGCGTGATTGCTACCGGATCAATCGGAACAATTTTGATTATCCAATATCCATATCCTCTTCTTCTCCGGTATTACCAAAACCCTCATGACTTAATCGATTTAGTTGACATTGTAAATGCGAACATGGCTTCATCAAAGGCGAAGAAAGGACTTGGCGATATGGTTCGCCACGCAATGAGACACCACAACAAATCTTTAGACGGAAGTCACGAAACTGTATCATTGAGTTCAGTACTCGAGTTTGGACAAGGTACTTCTATGTCTCTACTGGTGTATAAACCCAAATCAAAATTAAGAGTCGAGTCAATTATGCTTTAGGTGTTTTTGTGTTATTTTGTTAATGAACTATCAACAAGTGTTTGATATATCTTTTGCACTCTAAAAATGTAATGATTGTTTCAGGTAAATCTAGTGCTAGTGGTAGTAATCCTCTTCGAGAAAGAAATGAAGATGAAGGTTCTTCGAATAACGCATCTGAAAAGTCAGATTTCTTTCATAAAGAGTTTCTTTTCTCGTCAAGGTTAAAACAGGAGCCACGTTATAGGAAACAAACAGGTTATTACAAGGAAAAACATTCAAAGATTATGAAGAAGATGGAGGAAGGCTTTGCTCGGAAGGTTGGCATCGAGAATCTGTTTTCTGTGTGTGCTAAAATGGGAAAAGAAGTTGGTGTAAATGAATACAATGGTATGATTAAAGTTTGCATACATCACGCGAGGATAAGCGACGATGTAGAAGCTGCTCTTGATCACATTAGGAAGGCTATTGAATATCTCAAAGAGATAAACAAATGTGGATCCATTATAGGAAAAGGAACTTATGTGCCTCTTCTTAAGTTCTTAGTTGATATGGGAATGGTAGAAGAATTCCAAATTTCCAAGGATGTTATTCTAGAGTTAAATTCTGATGCTCTTGGGCAAGTTGGTTACTATGAAATGCTTCTTTGGATCCAAGTCGGCGACGAAGTAAGTATCGATGAACTTTGCAGGACGATTGGAGATAGGGAGAATAGTTTATCAGTCCTACAAGGTAAGCAGTATATGTATTATTATACTGGTTTAGAACTCTGGTTTTTCTTTTGCTCTCTACTCTCTAAGTACACCTTTTGGTTCTTAAACAGAATATTATATGATTGCACTGTGTGAGAAAGATAGAAAGGAAAATCTTCAGAGGCTGTTAGAGATTGTCGACATTACGAAAGTTTCTTCACCACGCCTATTGACAAACATATTTGGATACCTTGGAAGGTCACTATTGGAGTCTATGGCAATGAAGTTCCTTAGGGAACTACAAATGTGTGGTAAAGGTGAGTATACATCAACCGAAATAACCTTGGGTTGTTTTACTGTATTGGTATGGTAAAACATTTGAAGCGAGATGAATACACTTTGTATACTCGATGTTGACTCATTATATAATAACATGTTAAATCCCTTACGATTATATCATAGCAGGGTAACATACTAACATGGTTTCCTTAACGTTTGCAGATGCAGTGAAGACAGTTTCAAATCTTATATTTAGCTATGCAACCTCTATCCCAAATTCAACGGTAAGAACTTTCTAAGTATAATGCCTGTAAATTCATCACCTTGTTCTGGTTCTTAGAAGTTTTGATTATCAAATATTTCTATATCCTTGATCCATTAACCATCTTCTAGCTAAGTATTAACGCTCTTCTGATATTTTGGTATTCAATTAACACCAAGTTGTTAAAGGGTTCCTTTTAAGATAAGTCTAGGCTTCCTAACAGTCCATTTTCTCTTATAATATTGGTCATTTAAGGATGCTGTTTTGAAGTTCAACAAGTTGCATGAAGAACTAGAGATCATGCCTTCATCTACATCTTTTGATAAGCTTATTACTTATCTTTATGACTCAAATGAGGTATCTCTGCACGCTTCTCTTGATTTTTGTTTGTTCTGGTCTACTCTCCCCGATTGACTAATGATCAGATCATTCCTCTGTATCGTTAGGTGGCCACTGCTCTGATGTAGCTGACAATATGCATAAAGCAGGTCATGCATCATCACATTCCATCGGTGACCAAGATTCTTAATTTCTTAGTATGGAGAGTGAGATGATCTCTATTAAAGGCTGCTTTAATGTATGGAACAAAGGTCATGGACACATAACGGTTCAGCTACCAAGAAAGAAATACACATTCTTTTTTTCAAAGATATTAGAAACAAAGATCGAACTCGTGGGGTACAAGGAAGCACAATAACGCGTTTTTAAGCAGCTCTTGCAAGAAGTTGAAGACTTTCAGGAACATCAGAAGGTTCAATGAATCTCCTTGTCGTAATCCTCTTTGGTACAATCACAGTCAACACACCATCTTCATAACCAGCTGATATTCCTATCATATCTATTGATTCCGGCAACCGGAATTTCCTCTTAAAACTCTTCACCGGCTGATCTGGAGGCGACAGACGAGTCGCCTCCGTTCGTATGATCAAGTATATCGAATCTTCGATCTCAACTTTTATTTCTTCTTTCCTAAACCCTGTTTGGGAACAAAAATGAAGATAATCCAAGATTATTCGTTACAATGTGTGGCAATGAATAAACTGAGAATATTAGTTATTATAATTACCAGGAAGATCAACAGAGAAAGTGTGAGACTCTGGAGACTGAGACCAACGAACATGATTCTCTTGATAGCCACCTAGAGTTTGAGAAGAAGATAAAACATATTCCCATGGCATCACTTGAATTGTCTGAAAATCCATTTTTTGTATTTTTCTTTTTCTTTATTTTTTCTCTTGTGGATTGATTGATTTTTGGTTATTATTTATAGTAAAAACATAACCCCACATGAACCATTTGAGCAAGTTGTTGTCTAACTTGAAAAGTCCATCTTTAACCACCAAAATAGTCGATAGTAAATGACACATTAAGTACAAATCACTTGTAAAGTCGATAACTGGGAGGGGAGGGATTGATTTATGAGAAAAATTCCAACAATTTTGTCGACTCACTCACGAGTGGAGCAATTCTTGCCTTCTTGGGTATCTCGAAAAATAAATACTTGCTAAAAATACTTCTACTCTAAAAAAAAAAAAATTTCCCCGACAAGCTTTAAAGATTGATTGGATGATAATATTTTTATAGTTATCGACTACTAAAGTAAATAGTACTATGGTTCCTTCAAATAAATATATTTTTGGTTTTCTCATATTATTGTTAAAATTTATTTCGAGTACAAATATTGTCAACCACTCATTTTTGGTTCGACCTCGCAAGTTGCAGATAAATTAGCCACTTGTCTGATAATAATTTTCGCAATTTTTTAGAAGAAGAATATTATATTACTTTATCGTGGTTTATTTACCAAAGAGGAAAATTTACAGGACCGTAAGAAAAAAGGAGAAATTTACTCGACCCATCTTAGTGAATTTATCATTAATTACCCTCAATTACCCTCAATTACAGAGCTTAATTACATAAGTGCCACTACACACAAAATCTTGCAGGGTTTATCGGCGAGTTTTATCAAACACTTCTTCCAAATGATTCATCTTCTTCTTCTTCTCCGATCTCATGTTATTTTGGGATTTCGTTCTAATTCTTGATTCGATTTGTTCAATCTGGTAAATGTGAAGAACAATGGCTTTAAAGGCGAAGAAAAGTTTAAGCGCGCTGTTTCGCTATGCGATGAGAAACGCTGCCAAGACTGCCGAAGTCGAAGCTAAAGCCATAGCCGGAGATTCACTGACTTCCGACACTGGACTAGGTAATGTCTCTGCTTCTCTGATTTCTCCGATTGGGCCATTTTCAAAATTGGGACTTTCCTTTAGAAATTACGCGAGAATTGAAAAAATCATTATTGTGGAACAGTGTCATTGAGTTTAATGCCGGACTTTCTCTCATCGCTTAAGTCTTCCGAAGATTCGTCCATCACTGGACAAGGTACATCTATGTCTCTGCTAGTAGAATAAGAGAATTGTTTTGCGGAATTGATCTGGATAATGTTTAAAAGTTGTCTACTTTCAATTTGGTTCATCATGATCTTAGTGCCTTTGTGTAGATCTTGGAGAACCGGCACTCGCGGGTCAGGTCTCGTCTGCGTTAGATGGTATGTTCTTTGTTAATGAGCTTTCAAGTGTTTACATTTATCTATGAAATAGATAGTGTGTTGTCCATTTGGTACCTTTTCTTTGGAACTGAGTGATGTAATGTTTGTTCCAGTTAAATCAATTGGTAATAGTCTTATTCAAGAAAGAAATGGCGATAATGGTTTTTCGAAGAACGCATTGGAAACCTCAGATATCCTGCCTAGGAAAATTGTTTCGTCGCAAAAGCCAAAACAGGCTTCACGTGGTAGGGTGCAGACAGAGAATTATCAGAAAAAACAGTCAGAGATTATGGAGAAGCTTGCCAAGGGCTGTGTTCGGAAGTTGGGCACTGAGACTATGTTTGAGGTGTTGACTAAAATGGGAAAAGAAGCGGGTGAGAAAGAATACAACGCAATGACTAAACTATGCATAGAACGCGCAAGGAGAAGCAATGATGCAGAATATGCTCTTGATCAAATTGGGAAGGCTATTGAACATCTCAAGGAAATGAGACAACTTGGATTCTCTATAGGAGAAGGAGCTTATGGGCCTTTCTTTAAGTACTTAGTTGATATGGAAATGGTAGAGGAATTCCAAATTCTCAAGGATTTTATTAAGGAGGCTTGTCCTGAGTCTTGTGGGAGACTTGTCTACTATGAAATGCTCCTTTGGATCCAAGTCAACGACGAAGAGAAGATCCACAAACTTTGCAATACAATTGATGATAGTGGGCTAAGTTTATCAAATTTACAAGGTACGCCTACGTGTATTGTTATATTCATTTAGAATTCTGGGTTTTCATTTGCTCTACTCTCAAAGTAACCTTTTGGTCCTTATACAGAATATTATTTGGTTGCACTGTGCGAGAAAGACAGTAAGGAAAATTTTCAGAAGCTGTTAGAGATTGTCAACATAACAACAGTATCTTCCCCAGACGCATTGAAAAGCATATTTGGATACCTTGGAAAATTGATGTTGGAGTCTGTTGCAGTGAAGCTACTTTGGGAACTAAGAGACTGTGGTAAAGGTGGGATAGAAATCAATCGAAATAACCTGGTGCTGTTTTACTTTATTGGTATTATGAATTTGTAAGGTGTATGTATACTTCATTATATAGTTGCAGTGACCAATTCATATTTGATGCAAACTAAAAAAGTTCGCTGATGACTCATTTTCTAGGATTGTAACATGGTTTCTTGATATGTCCAGATGGAGTGGAGACAGTTTCAAATCTCATATTCAGCTATGCAACCTGCATCCCAAATTCATCGGTGAGGACTTTCTATATATAGTACTTGCAAAATTATTGAGGCGGTTGTTAACTCTGGTGTTTTCCTTGTTTCGTTTCTAGAATATTTGCATTTGATTTTAACATTAACATGGTGATTTTTGTTCATTGACAATGTTTCTTGCACCCAAGTCTCGTCCTAGATCTTTTTTGTATTGAAATAGATATAACTAGAGTGTGTTAAATCACTTTGATTCCAAGCTTTCTGTGAGAAAGTAACGTCAATCCTTGATCCATTAAGATCTTCTAGCTAAATATTATCTCTCTCCTGACCTTTTGGTATTTAATTTCCTAACTTAGGGTCGACGACATATACATTGGCAATTGTTCTTTTCTCCCTGAGAATGAGAAATGCTATATTCATTAGTGTCTCTCAAAATGTTTACATGATATTTAATATACAATCCTATAGGTCTTGAGATTGTGAGGTCCCAACATGCTTTTCATGTTGGGTGGTATACTACAAACTTGGCCCATGTCCTTGAAACAACCAAATATTTGTTCTGAATCCTATACCATTTTTTAATGTACAAATTAAAGTGAGTAACTAACTAACTAACTTATCCTTATTATTGAGATTGAAATCACTCACATCTTTTAAGTAGCACAAAGTTGTTAAAGCTTCTCTTTTAAGATAGCATATGGCTCCTAACCATTCTTACATATTTTGGTGACTAAAGGTAGAAGATGCCATTTTCAAGTTTAACAAGTTGCATGAAGAACTAGATATCGTACCTTCATATACATCTTATGAGAATCTTGTCAGTTATCTTTGTGGCTCAAATGAGGTATTTGTACGCTTCTGTCATTTTCAACTTTCATTTCCAGTACTCTCCTGGCTCCATAGCTGACTAACAATAATTTCTCTCTGTTGTAGGTGGTCACTGCTCTTGATATAGTTGAAAATCTGTGTGAAGCAGGTCTGGTAATATCGGCAAACATCCTGCACTCATTGTTACAGGCCGTTGAGCAGATTCTTGAGTTTAATTTGGTACCGACCTCCTTTTGCTCGAAGCATGTTCCTTGGATTTCGTCCCAATCTTTTTGTTGACTGACTTCACTATCAGTTCTAAATCCAATAACATAGCTAATTTTAGGCTGGTCATTGATGTGCTCTTGATAGATCACCGACATCGTCTTTCTCATACTCATGTTAAACAGAGTTGCGTTTGATCATACTTTTTCTGTTTCAGGTGCAAAGAATCTATTCAATAATGAGCAACAAGAGTGTGAAGCCAAATAGTGAGACTTTCAGGAGATCGATACATTTGTGCATAAGAATCAAAGACGTAACTTATTTCTAATTCTATCAGCTTAAGTTCCTTCCTGTCGTGAACTTTGTTTTATAGACCTTAGCAATTAAGTATGAATGTGCTGTTTCTCACAGATGCAACTTTTCCAACCATAAAAATTTGCTCTCAACCTATTGGTTCTGTGCAGTTTGAAGGTGCATATACTATGCTTGGTAATTTGAAGAATTTCAATTTGGCACCGAACTCTAGCATGTACAATTCTATAATGGCAGGATATTTCCGGGAGGTAATATCTTAAGCTCTCTTTTCAATTTTTTCTTGTCTTGCCTATCATAGGATCCACCAACTATCGTCTTAGCGATATCCATGTATTCCTTTAATCATTAATGTTGAAATATGCATGGAAATAAGATTGTTGCAACATGCAAAGAAGCATGTCTCGTGTAAATTTCTATTGTAGCATTGATGTATATCGGTTAGGCAGGTAGCTGTTGTCAAACAATTGATATAGCTTAAGACCTTATCTCTGAAATTATTGGCAAATTCTAGACCGATGGATAGTTCATATCTGTCTCTTCCGTATTGTCTCTTGAGTCGTTTTTTACTGACATTTTTGTATGGTTTTGAAGAAAAACGTGAACAGTGCTTTAAAGGTCCTCAGGGAAATGAAAGACGCTGATGTTAAACCTGATTCCGTGACTTTTAGCTATCTAATAAACTATTGCGGTGAGGAGGCGACTATTGCGAAGGTAATCAAACTGTATTTCACTGATATTTTACCTTTTCCGAGTCTTTTCTTGTTCTTCTAATCTTGAAGTTGAGTACTTAATGACACTGTCTCTCTTGTTGTGTTGTCAGTTGTTACCTATAGATACATACATAAATAATGCTAGGGTATGAGAGAAATATAATGAGGAGATGATATACATACATAATCTGTGTTTTTTTTTTTGCTTATTCAAAGTACTATAAGGAGATGAAGAAAGCAGGAGTTGAAGTCAATAAGCACGTTTACATGTCCCTTATTAAAGCATATGCATCATGCGGACAGTCTGAGAAGGCAAAACAGGTAAGCATGCGTATGATATGTTCTTTTCAAAAGTTCTTGAATGATTATATTCATGATTTAGTGTAAGAGCTCAAGCTTTTTTCTTACTTTAGGTGCTCTTGGACCTGGAAGTTCCGGCTAAGGATCACAATGAGCTGAAAAGTGTGCTTATATCTGCTCTGGCATCAAATGGAAAAATAACAGATGCTTTAAGTATTTATGAAGAAATGAAGAAACTCGGCTGCCCCGTAGAGCCAAAAGCTATTATATCTCTTATAGTAAGTTGAAAGTTTGTACTTCAGTCATATTTTTTTCTCGTTAATTATCCGACTAATAGTGAATTAGAGATAACATAACGTATTGCAATGACCTCTAACTATTTTTCTGTAGGATAACTCTGATTCAAACGCAGAGTTGAGAACGTTGGTTGAACTCACTCATGAGCTGCGTGATTATAAATTTTGGATAGATGGTTTCTTCAAAATTATCGTGTTCGCTGTTCGCAACAATAGATCAAGGTACAGTGAATTATCCGTGTTCTTTGTTTAGTTCACATGCACACCGACATTGTTAATTATCCTGTAGTTTATTCAACCTCTTTTGTGTAGCTCTATTCTCGATTTGCTAGAGCAGACCAAAAACCACTTGTCCAAGGATGACATCGCTGTGGAATATTGGTTTGAAGAGGTTCGATTCTATTTTACTCATACGTTTTCAAAAAATTTACAAGCTTTTCACTTGTTCATATTGTCAACTGATATATTATAGCCTCGAGATTTCTCATATGTAGACTCAACGAAATCTTGGAAAATTCTGGTGTGAATTATTTTCTCAACTCTTGGCATCTTATTGTTGAAATCAGGTGTTTAAGTCAATAGCAGAAACAGAGTCTAATGATGTGAAGCTAGGGCTGGACTTGGTGAGTTTTATGAAAGAAGAGCTTGAGTTATGTCCTTCAAGAAAATGTCTAGATTTTCTTCTACATGCTTGTGTCAATGCCAAAGATAAGCAGAACGCTCTACTGGTATGGAAAGAGTACCAATTTGCAAAACTTCCTTACAATGTCCTCAACTATTTAAGGCAAGAGCTCTTTCATCTCCTACATTTAAGAGAATGATTTTGAACTTTTCTTAGTAGAAAGCTTTCTTCTGGTGAGAGAGTGATGTATAATGAGTTCTTGGTTATATGGTTTCACAGGATGTATCAGGTTCTAGTAGCTGCAGGAGATTCGAAAAGTGCAGAGGCATTAGTATCAAAGATTCCTAATGACGATAAAGATGTCAAATGTATAGTTAAAGAAAGCCGTATTGTATTTACTCCAAAACTGAAAAAGAAAAAGAAAAAGTCTAAAAAGAAAGGATTATCTCTTCAAGCAAAGTAGGATGATTGGTTTAAATCCCACATTGTATGACATTTTGTACAGAAGTGAACACAATTGCCACTATAATGGCTAAGTTTTCTTTAATTCTAATGCTTACTACAACATTTAGACAAGTATTTTATGTGTTCACCCCGAGGATGAAGCCGTTGCCGTAACAGGGAAGATTGCTGGACTTTGCACAAGACCTTACAGGTGAGCGGAAAGGGTTAGGAACAACCGGATGAGAGATATTCAGCCCTGCGTTACGCAAAACTGCCTTTGCATTTCCGCAAGCTTCTTCTGTCTTATCAGTGAAGAAACCGGGGATGCCCATATTGTTCACCGTCTCACCGCTCCTGCCCAGCTCGAGTACCCGTCCAGGTCACAGTTCAAGGCTACAATGATATCCAGTGAGGACAGGTATGTTATCTCGTCTTGGTAACCTTTCACAAAGCTCACCTTATGTAGGCCTTGATGATCCTTTTTATGTAGGTGCACCGTGCACATTACTTTAAAACGATAAATCATATATTTTCAATATATTATATCGTCATATACATAAGAGTTCAAGTCTACGTAAACATTTGCCTAAATCATAGTCAATCGGTGGCTAAAACGTTCATACAGTTTTTTAAATGAGATTCTTGAAATGCATGGGGACGAATTCGTTACTTTTAAAATAAATTGCAATTAGGAACAAATGAAGTTGTAGCTAACTAGCTATTGTGGTATCCACTATATAACTCTTTCGAAAATATGTGATGAAAACTGAGATAGATAGCGATTAGCGCACACAAAGTTCCTATAACATTTGGCAACACCAACTCAACATGATTACTCAGCACTAACAAAATATTCCTTTGGTACACCAACGCAATTCGTTATTTGGAGGTCAAAGGCAGGGGAGAATTGTGTAAAGAAAAGCAAAACAGATTTGGGATCATTCATGAGGTTTGTGTTGAGATTGTTATCTTCTTCTTCTTCATTTTTTCTCTAAAAGTTTTCTTCTAAAAATGCAACTATTTGCAATCTAAGTTTACAACTCATAATCATCAACTGAAACTCACCATATCAAACAATATATAACAACATTATACTGTATAACACCTTAATCATATATCAAATTAGGTAATATTGCTAATACTATTTCCGTCAAGTGATTAAACTAGGTAAAAACTCTAGTGGCATTCCTGAGCTTTTAAAACACGAGTGATACATATAATTATATTAAGTGATATCTACAGACTCCACTTAACCAAAATGACACGTCATATGGCAACTTTTTAGTTCGACACTATTGGTCTATTTCTAGTTACACAGTCTTTGCACAAACTAGACCTCAATTTTTTACTGTGTTCCAACGAATAAGCTCAAGCCGTTTAAAATTGAGTATAAACTTATATTTCTCTTAATATTTTTGGTTAACCCTAACATATATACTCTTCTCGACTTTCCTACATTTTCAGTTTACTGAATTTTATTTATATTCTCCAAAAGATGTCCCATCCCATCAAGGCAAACAAAGAAAATAAAGTTTATTTTTTCTGACAATAAATAAATTCTTAAGAGACATATATATTTTATTTTTTCAAAGTATCTTTAACTCCATAATTTTGATAATTTAGATATTTGTAAATATATTATTTATATTTAACTCTTTTCATCTCTTTTAATTAGGTATGTGTTGTTTTATGCATCTTTATTTTCCCTTTTTAATTGAGTTTTATATGTCAAAACTTACTACTAATTGAAACCAATAGTATACAACTTCATATCCAAAAAGAAAACACTGTATACAATACAAATTATGACTAACTTCGTTTATGTATTCTGAGGCATTGTTCCAAAAGCTTCTACATTTAGTCGTATGAGGAGGGAGCTTTGTAGGTTTCTTAGTGAACACATATTCTAAAGATGTTCTTAACAAGCTGGACTAATAATTTTGAGGTTCTTTAAAATTATTGTTGATATATATATATATTGTTGAATATAGGGTGTGTATATCGTTTATAAACTTTGAGGGGTTAAATGAACACTAAACATTTTGATTAAAACAAACTTTCTTAAATAAATAAAAAATTGCCCTGATTTTCATATTTTTTTTAATAGAATTAGCTAAACAAAAAAAAAACTTAATATACAGAATTCATAGTGAGATAAATGTTATCAAGAATCATATTCCATCATATAGTACACTGATTTTGTCTTCTTGCAAGAATCAGATTCCATCAATAATTCTAGTAGTATATTTGAAAAAAATAGGACCAAAGAGTTTTGTTCTTTTCTTAAGTAACGTGTCCTCGTTATAACTTACCTTGGCGTAACTAGTTTAAAACAAAATCAAGGATAATTGTAAATATATATATATCACTTTGATGATTAGATCCGCATGCAGGAGCCCTGCTCTAAGTAGAAAGAAAAAGAAACGATACCAATGTGTACTGATGTTATAAAACGAATTGAAAGAAAGAACATAACAAGACCTGAACATGACTATCTTTAATGTAATCGGTTTAATTTACTGATGTTAGAAAACGAATCGAAAGAAGGTCCCGTGACCTTTTTTTTTCCGTCAGAAGGTCCCGTGATAATCGGTTCCAAATTATTACATTTATTTTATTTTTGTAAAGAAAAACGAACAAAGAAAAAAGAGTTGGTTCATGTTAAATTTGGACCGTCTATTCTTCTCTTACGTACGAAAACTCACATGGCCTTTAGATTCCTTTGAAGCAATCAATGACCTCTCTTCTCTCATTTGATTCCTTTGAAGAGACGACTCTCTCGCCTTTATATAGTTGTAATTGTAACTCTAAATTCTCCCATCCAACTTCTCCGCCAAAAATAAAATATTTATACCATTGATTCTGCCGCCGTTCTCCACTCACCGTGGCCTCCAACTCCAACCCCATCGGAATCGTCGAGAATAATTGTAGGTAATAGTTTTTTCTACCTCCTCTTGAATTTTAATGATTATATCAATGTAGAGTTATAACTTTTTTTTTGGATTATTTTCATTTTTTTATTGCACACAATCATATCTGTGTTCTAGGATCTAAACACTTTGTCCGATGACAAATCTTTTTAATTTGAACAATATTGTTTAGTATATTAAAAACTCGTTAGGAGACTTACATCGGAACTATTCTCCTCTTTATTCCAAATTGCGTCTTTCATAAAAAAGAATTGTATGTGGAGATAGAATTTTGGTCAGTATGATAAAAGGTTAGTTCTTTTTACCATACTTTCTTTTTATCTCCACATACAATCCTTGTTTATGACAGACGCAATTTGGAATAAAGAGTTGAATAGTTCCGATGTTAGTCTTTTAACGAGTTTTCAATATACTGAATAATATTGATCAGATTAGAAATTTTTGTCATTGGACAAGTGTTTAGATCTCAAAACATAGACACTTGATCGTTTACAATAAAAAAAAAATGAAATTGTCCCCAAAAAGTTATAATTGTATATTGATATATCATTGAAAATCTAGGAGGTAGAGAAAACGCTTACGGACAATTAATCTCGAGTATTCTCCGATAAAATGTTGGAGTTGGACAAGTGTTTATGTATTTTAATCTTATTCTCCATGAAATTTTTAATTTTATTTCTATGTATTTTTAATCTTATTCTCCGTGTATTTATATGTAATTTCTGTATAAATTTTATCTGTGTTTGGTATCATTTTTTTGTTGAACGTCTGGTGTGACTATTGTAGGATGATTGGTTAAAAAGCCCACATTGTATGAGATTTTGTACAGAAGTGAACATAATTGCCACTATAATGGCTAAGTTTTCTTTAATTCTAATGCTTATCACAACGTTTAGACAAATCTTTTTATGTATTCACCCCGAGGATGAAGCTGTTGCTGTAACAGGGAAGATTGCTGGACTTTGCACAAGACCTTACAGGTGAACGGAAAGGGTTAGGAGAAACCGGATGAGAGAGATTCAGCCCTGCGTTGCGCAAAACTGTCTTTGCATTTCCACAAGCTTCTTCTGTCTTATCAGTGAAGAAACCGGGGATGCCCATATTGTTCACTGTCTCAACTGCTCCTGCCCAGCTCGAGTGCCTGTCCAGGTCACAGTTCAAGGCTACAACGATATCCGGTGAAGTCAGGTATGTTACCTCGTCTTGGTACAAACCTTTCACAAAGCTCACCTTAACTCTGCTGTTTGTTGTTGAGGTGGTTGATGTTGTACCAGATAAGTCAGATGGAACCTCAGGTCCGATCATTATGATCTGCACGGTTCCTAAACCATTAAGCAAGTGATTGATCTCTGCAAATGCTTTGATCCAGTCGAGTTCTCGTTCTGGACCTAAGTAATGGACAGTCACTTCTTTCCCTTTCAGCAACAGATTCTTGGAATGGGTGCTTACTGATGTTAATATGTGGTAAAGGGTTAAAGGGTAACAGAGAATGTCAGAAACAGGGCTTGACCGTGGTAGACATCGTAAATCATAGTAATCTGACCAATCTGACATGAGGATCATACCCGGGGAACGCCCATTGTTCAGATTCTGAATCGGTAAATCTTGTGGATAATCCCCGTCCTTTAGCCCTCCCCATGATTCAGATTGTGCATCTGTGGAAAAACACTGTAAGAGTCCGAAAGGTTGGTGAGAATAGCAACTGCATTGTCTTCTCCACATTCCCTTTTTATGGATACCTAAAGATCCAAGCCATTCACATGGGTTCTCAGCATAACACGAGAAAGTGAAGATCTTTATCTTGAGCTCTTCTTCTCTACTCATCATAGCTTCATAGAGACTACAAACACTCCGGTGCATCTCTCGCCAATGCTGTTTCTCGCAGTCTGAACTACAGTAGATGGTTGCACGGCAATGGCTACAACAAACAGACTCATCTCTATTAACAGCTTTCTCACACATTGTGCACTGTCTTAAACCCACTTCTGCACCTTGACCAACTCGCAGATTGATCATGCCAGAAACTATTTCCAACTCATCATCTTCGCGTGCCATCGCAGTTTTCTTAAACTTCTGTTCATATGATTGACCGGGAGGATGAGAGACTGTGACAGCAACAAAATCATGACCTTTACCCATCTCTGATGGCCACTGAACATCGACAGTTTCGATAAAAGGCGAAAACTTTATCATCCTTGGCGATCCCCTGACTTGCTTCTCCTCTTGACGCAACAAAGGATGAACCAAAGAAAGAGCTTTCATCACAGCAAACACAAGCCTAAGCTCTTCAAGTGTCGGGCTTCTGAACTGAAGCTCACCAGAGGTCATGCACGCTGCAACATCGATGACAGGAAACCGATCAGTTCCAGAAACTTCTAAAGACAAAGACTTAACCATCCTCTTGTTAGAAGGAAGCATCAATGACTCAAGCTCGTAAGTAACCCTAAAGACCTCAACATTAGGAACTCTAGCCATTTCCCATGAATCATCAATCATTTTCAGTGCATAGCTCATGGACCTATACATATAGATTGCTATATCACCACCATCACCTCCTATGAACTGAACACATTGAAAAGGCTGTCTCTTTCCCGACCAATCTGAGTCTTTCCCAACCCGAACACCAAACAAATGTACCCGGTCTAAGCCTCTTCCATGGCTCACTTCTGTATAAAGAAGCTGAAGCTCTAAAAATGGACTGAATAATGTTTGAAGATATACCTTCAACTTTCATCAAGCAAACACCGGATCCAGGTCCAAGACCAGGACCTGACCCGAATTGATCCTGAAACCTACCAAATAAGTTCTTCAAATGCAAATCCATTCTTGAAACTTCCCCAAAAGAGTCAGATCTGAGTGAAAAAAGTAAGCTCTGATCAAGATCACCAAACCTGGAAACGATGTAATTCTACAGTAACGCAGAAATAAAGTATTGGTATCACAAACAATTGAGAAAGATCGAATCTTTTGTAAAACCCAGTAAGAGTTTTTGCATTTGGGTACTGTATTTTGAATTTTCAGAAGATATGCAATGGTTTCGCAGTTAAACGGTCATGACCGACAAAAGTCAAGAGCAGAGAGTGGAACAACTTTTTTAAACGAAAGATCGGACGGTCATAAATATGCGTAAGTAACTTTTTTGTGCCGGTATTATTTATTTTTTTGTTAAAGTATTATTTCTTTTGTTCAAGAGATTTTTTGTAGCCGTAGGCAAGAAAAACAAATATTGGCTCGGTTGATAATTTGATTATTGCAATATTACGAATTGAATCAGACTGAATCAGCTAAAATAAAATCAGAACTGAAAAGTCTACAACTGAGTCAAAGTTTTTCATGAAAATATCATGCTCAAACCAAAACTAATCCAACAAATCAAGAAAAACAAACCTAATTTAATTATTTTCGAAGAATATTACAAAACTAAAAATGATATTAACAACAATATCGAAAATGATGAACCAAACGACAGAATATAAGATTAATAATAAAAAAAAATAAAGAATATGAGATTATTCAAATTCGCAAATAGTGTTTCGAATTTCTCTATCAATAGTCTTGAAAATGTTTGGCTTCCGTGGTGCAAATTTATATTGAGTGGTAACAATTTATGTGGCTAAATTTTTATGGTATACTTATTCCCCTTAGTCTATGTAAATTAAACTCTTAAATCAATCAACTCTATTGGAGTAGGTTAGTTGATGGACCAGGTTTAGAAGAAGAGATTAAAAACAAATGTTTGCAAAACCAGAAAAACAAACGGTACCATAACGGACAACACTGAGGTCTGCATAATAAGAACAGAAAGAGAAGACAACACAAAATATAATGGGGTCTGTTACATATCCCCAAAACAACCGAATAGAGTTTTAACTACTGCACTGATGGAGTAACTTCTTCTTCCATGTTGCTATCAACCTTCTTCTCCTCTCCTTCAAGCAAGTTCGCAATAAAGCCACTCTTCGACACAGAGGTTTTAGGATCGGGCTCTGTTGTTGCGATGTTGTTGTTGTTATTGTCTCCACTCAATGTTATCTTGTTTCCAAGCTCTAGCTGAAGCTCCTCCGGAACTTTCCCTCCTTGACGAACCGGTTCCTTGGCCATAAGATCGAATCCACGAGTCTCACCAAGAGATTTCTGTTGCTCTGTCTCTTTTGGTACCAAGACAAAATTTGGTTGAGCAGTCGTCATCATCATTGTCCCTGGAGTTGGAAAAAACTCCACTAACCGAGTGTCAGCATGTTGTGCAATGACTCCATCTTTCTCCATCTTAGCTTCTTTCGGTTGGCCATTGCTAGCTTGTGGCACTAGGACCAAAGCTCGAGTGGATTCAAAAATATCCAAGTCAGTAGTGACAGCAGCATCTTTCATTGGTTGATCAGTAGTGTCAGCATCTTTCATTGGTTGGTCAGTAGTGTCAGCATCTTTCAATGGTTGATCAGTAGGGAAAGAATGATCAGCTTGGTTGGTCTTGATATCTTCTCTTTCGTACATTTTAACAAGAGGAGCCACATCGTTTTCTGGAGTGATCGGATTGACTTTGCCCGGTATGAACACGAGACCTCTGAGTTTGGTGTCACTGTCTTTAACCTTAACATTAAGGAGATAGCCTGCGTCGAAAGATCCTTCGACTACACCAGTAACCGCCTTACCTACCAAATTGGTGTCCGGTTTTGGAGTTGAGTTTTCATCTTTGCGTGGTCGGCCTCTTTTTCGCTTCGCCAAGCCATCATTAGCAGTAGGAGGAGGTGAGTTCATGGTGTCTTGATTCTGCTGATTCATCCTTCTACAGAAATTAATAACCAAGAAATGTGATTTTGTTAAGTTTAACTATCATAATTTAATGGCATTGAATAGCTCATAAGTAATAAATGAACAGACAAAATATAAAGTTCTTTACACAAGCAAAAATGAAGATTGTTACATTAGTACAAAAACATTTTAGGATTTCACACTAATCCTATCTAATGATTGTTTTAATATGAACTAGAAGTTATCAAAGACACAGAAACCAAGTTTAAACAGAGACACCAAACGGAAAAATTGAAATTAGGAAACTGATTTCCAAAGCAGAACATAATAGCAACCTAAGTATGAAATGAATGAAGTGTTTTTTTTTCAAAAAAAAAAAAAAAAAAAAAACAAGTATGAATAGAGATTCTCATGGAGAATCAATTCAGAATAATAATGATATAGGAATATGAAAAGGAAAAAAAATCAATCTCATCATATTAAAATTAATCAATCCTCGACAACACACATAATTTTTTACCCTAGATTTATCAAAACCTAGTGTCTAAATAACAATTAGTGAAGATTTAAAATCCATAAACGGAGGAAAAAACGGATCAAACTTCTGTATTGATTAAACAAGAGAAAGCACCAGAATAAAATCGAAAAACAATTTTAAGAAACCTGAATCTAATAAAATCCAAAACGTGGATTCAGAATTATTAAGACCTAGAAATGATCATATATTAAAATTCCTAGAGAAAAACACTTGAGTCTAATGTTATCCAAAAAAAACAAAACACGATTAAATATTAGTTTACCTCTCGACCACGCGACGCAAAACCACACGAAATGGTTCTTCGAAAACTCAGAAAAATCTCTGTTTTGTGAGGAGCGTGAACATGTGTGTGTGTGAGAGTGTGTATTTATAATCTTTCTTCGGCTACGTTGTTTAAGTTTTTGCTGTCTGGCGTCTCCTTTTCGTACCTTCTCAAGTTGATTACTAGCCTAATATGGGCTATTAATGGGCTTTTTCTCAAGCATTGAAGATATTACTATAATTTTATTTTTGTTTGTATGTATGTAGTGTAACTATGTATATTCAAAACCAAAAGTCTCATTTTTATTAATTTTGTTCCTAATATTGAAATTAATTTTTGTATAAAATGCCAAAATAATTTTACATATTAACAGGATGGTAAAATTATTATTGAAAAGAAAAACTATAAAAATAATGCTAAAAATATGGGACCAGAAATATTGATTCAACGGTCATTTTATGATTTTACCAAAATCAAAATACTTGCTTTGAAAATGTCACAATTTAGTCGTTTAGTCGGAGAATTGACTTAAATTTGGCGTTTCCATTAATGTAGCACCATTATTTAGTTCAATAGTTTAAATGTATTATACTACATTCATTATTTACTTTTAATAGTTTGAATTTGTTACTCTTAACCATTTCGTTATAAATTTTCTTTTACAACTTTACCAAAAACAAAATACTTGCTTTGAAAATTTCACAATTTAGTCGTTTAGTCGGAAAATTTACTTAATTTTGGCGTGTCCATTAATGTAGCACCATTATATAGTTTCAATAGTTTTAATGTATTATACTATATCATTATTTACTTCCAATAGTTTGAATTTTTAACTTTCAACCGTTTCGTTATAAATTATGTTTTATGATTTAACCAAAAAAAAACAAAATACTTGCTTTGGAAATGTCACAATTTTGTTGTTTAGTCAGAGAATTTACTTAAATTTGGCCTTTTCATTAATGTAGCACCTTTATTTAGTTTCAGTAGTTTAAATGTATTATACTATATTAATTATTTATTTTCAATAGTTTGAATTTGTTACTTTCAACCGTTTAGTTCTAAATTTTTTTTTCTGATTTAACCTTAAAAATAAATTTGTTACTTTGAAAATGTCAAAAGTTAGTCGTTTAGTCCGAAAACTGACTTAAAATAGAACTTTTCCCATTAACACATCATCATTATTTACTTTCATAAGTTTTAATAACCGTTACGTTACAAATATTATTTAATTTTTAAAAAAAGTTTGAAATAGTATTACTACATATCATTTTACTTACTAATATACTTTTAATAATACTATATCATGTACTTTTCTTCGTTTTCCTACTTTTTTTCTTTCAATGTGAAATTATTCAACCAAAAAACATGTTTTACAATAAATGCGTCTTTTTCTGAGAAATCTAGACCAATTGGAATAAAAGAATTTGAAGGAGCTAATGAGAAGTAATAAAATTATCTTAGTAAGTAGAATGATACTTTGAAGTAATACTATATTGGAATTGGGGTGTTTTCATGTAGTGCATGATTTTTAATATCTCTTTGGAAGGATCAGTGGACAAGTTGGGTACAAGCTCAATCATGAGAAACACCAAAGCCGAAGCCCATGGGCCATGGCCAACTAGCCGAACAACCAGGACTGCGAACAACAGTATCAACTCTGTTTCATGTGAGAATTGAAACTTTGGGAAGAGCAAATTTACACCATTTCTCACTCAGGTCGATTACCACCTGAAATGCCAGTGTCAGGTTTTTACGTTTCTACTTAATAGAATCATAGACCTTATGGTGCTTAAATCAAAACCTAATATGGCATTTAGCTTAACAAACATCTCTACTTAAGTAAAAAGACAAAGGTAAGGATTCTTTTTCATGTGCTTTAACTCCACCAAAAGGGAGAAAAAAAAAACTTTAATCAATGGTGAAAAACTGATTTGAGTTCTAACATCGGACGGTGGAAAATTGGCTCTTTGAACATAATCGTCAAAGACTGCTCAAATGATACTGACTTAGACAAATTGAGTATTTCTATAAACTCTGCCTTGTAATGCACATCCAACTTCTTGAAGATTCCTCATTGTCTTGATTCGTGATTGGAACATGCCATGATCCTTTCTCCGATTCCTAAAACATACCCAAAACATAAGATACACAGATTTCAACAAAACAAAAGAAACAGAAGCACATATGTGATATAAGATTTGTGAAAAACCTGGATCACAACCGAAAAAGGAGATGGCATTTCAAGCTTGAGACAACCTTTTACAAAGGTAAACCGAACTTGATGTCTTTCTTTCCATTTTTGGAAAAAACTGTTACTTAATAGTTCAAAAATGTGATCTCTCATCTCATCATTAGTCACAAGCAAACACTTGAGTTTAGCAGCAGCATAAAGCCAATACCTGAAACAAAATTTATATAAAGAAACCAAGATTTGAGTAAGCAAACCATACCATGTTAGTGGGAATGTAAAGGAAGCTTAAGTCAGAGTCAGTCCATACCAATCATCATTGGAACCTGGTGGGGTTGCGTATAGGACATTGTTATTAATCCATTCCTCCACCAGATTCCGGTGATTCGGGTTTCCTAAAAGTGCATTGACCCGTTTCTTGTGCAAGAGAATTAGCGGCTGTTTTTTGTTACCACTTTTATTGTAAAGTTCCTTCACTACAGCTTCAAGCTGCTCTTTTGCACAATGTTGCATTGTGTCAGTATTTGCAGGAATGTATTCTGAATTGCAAAGGAAGAAAAATCGATGAGAACCTGTGGTAGACTGAAGCCACCATCTGTAAAATTTTGTTGGTAAAGCCCAATATTTGCTCCATCTAGTATAGCTTCGTAGTCTCCATGCTTTTCAAGCCACTCCTGTCAAATAGTTATAAACAAAAAAGATTGACATCTAAATGTAAAGTAGATAATATTCAAAATACAGACTTCAAATAAGAACTCTGTTTTTCAAGCATCAAACTTAATAGAATTCCACCAAGGACAATACGAAATGCCTACATTACATCCAAGACAATCTTAAAAACAGAAGCTACATTATAGAATTTTCTTTTCTTTCTTGATAGTGCCTGTTATATAGCTAATGATTTCACATTCAGAACTATACAGAACACAGAGAATGTTTACCGATTGATGGTCATATATGCTAAGAGAGATCAATAATCTATGCAGAGTTTAAACGATCAATGCAAAACAAATACAGGTATTGAAGTCTCCTTAGCCCTAAGAACTCTAAGCATTATTACATTTCTCTATATAAATATCAAAGTTAACTAAGCAAGAAATATAAACTTGATTTCAACAGAATATTTATCTCAAGCAAGATTTTATCTCCCAGGGTTACAAGCTCCAAACAATATTAGACGCAAGATATAAAAAAGCCATTATTCCTTTCTAACCTGAAACTCGCTGAAATCTGCCATAGGCTCGCATGAATTCATCTTCGCCTTCCTCTCCATAGCCAAAGCCACCAAAGAATTCACAAAATTTTCAGTGTCTACCTCATTGGTATCAACACAAGCCAAATGCTCACTACAGCTCAAACATTTCCCGGCTGGGCTAACATTACCTATCTTCACAATCCATTTGCCTTCCCCAACCCACCCAAGACCATGCCACCCACCCCCATTCTTCAAAACAGCTGCTCTAAGCAGCTCAATATTAGAACCAATCCCATTATCACAAACTTCGCTAGCTTTCACTCCATAAAACCATTCCTCGATTGTTTTTGAAGTTTCATCACTAACACGAGCCAACACAGTCTCTTAATTTATGCAAATATCTATAAACCTGTTTTCTCGACCCGTGGCAGCGCTTACCTTCAGCAAAGCAGAGATCTCTGCCTCCTCTAACATAATACCTGAAGCATCCATGTGATCTTCCACTTCATAACCCTTATCAGCCTCCAAACTCTCACAGAAACAGAGCAAAGCCGGAGCATAAGTTCTCAGACGAGGGACCGATACACCACCAACAGGCAACAAGGTCTTTGACAAGCTTGAAAGCATAATCACCGTCACCCTTGGCAGCAGCTAGTCGTGCCACTGCAGTGACGGAGGATTCATTAGGCACTTATCCCTGAACTAACCATACGGTCAAAAATTTGAAAGCCACGGTCAATGGCAAGGGTTTGAAGAGATGGGTCACTAATGAACGCGGAGCAGAGATAAAGAAGAGATTGGAAGTGTTGCTGGCTGAGGCGGATGTCACTGGAAGTGATAGCTGCATCATAAAGAGCCAACGCAGCTGAGAGGTCCTTTCTCTTGGAACAGGAATGAAGATTGATAAGGAGACTCTTTTCTGGATTGCGGCTTCCCTTCTGCTTCTTGTTGGGTTTTAAAGGGCTTTCGTCATGGTGGCGAGTACCGGCCATGGAATAGTAATCTATGTGCAAATTAACAGCGTTGTTTCTCAAAGTTACAAGCTTTGCATTGGCGAAAGTGGCTGATGAAACCCTTACCCTGACCACAAAACAATGAAAATCCAAATTAAGTGAGCAGAAATAAACCATTTAACAACATTCACAAATCAATCTTTTCACAGAGATTGAAACCATCATATTGATTTAGAACAGTGACAAAACTCAGCATCTAAAGGGGAAAAGGAACAACAATCTATCCCAGGAACAGATATATACCCTAGATTTTCATCAGTACCTAGAGTTTAAGGAACATGCATGAATCCTGAACACTCAGGACCGGTTCTTAGGCTATGTAAACTGTGTTAGTGACTAATTCCGATGATGTTCTGACTAATCTAGGTTCAAAGTTTCAACATTGAAGGATAATAACTAGGGTTTATCAATCTCTGTACTTTAAGATCGACAACAACTATAGAAAAGGCGGAAACTTTGAGGAATAGAAACGAACCCAGAAGGAATGCGAAAGCAGTATTGGTCCAAGAAGCTAACCTGCGAGGAATGAGTCGATAGGGTAAGCGAGTTTGAGAGAGACAAGGCGGGACGGCGCAGAGCAAAGAAGAAGAAGGCAATGAAGGTTTTTTTAATTTCATTGCTCAATTCATTTTGCTGTCGTTCAAAAAAAATAAAACACAAATAATAAAAAAACAAAAATAATTTATTTCAAAATCAATTTTATATGACCAAAATTATAATAAACTTTTCCCATTTTTTTAAGATATATAATCAGAGTTACATACAAGAAATTTACGAGATTCATCATAGTCAAATTTTGTAGTTTTTCATTGTTAATTAGTTACCTAAATTACATATACTGTATGATATGTCTAAAACATGTGCGTGAACCACCTGGAATAATGGATAGTCCACATGTTATGCTCATATAGTCAAACAATATAAAATCCCCACATATGCCTAGTTGCCTATATATGTAGTACAATGATTCTGATGACATTACCTTAATTTAGTCAAACAAAAGACGAAAACTTTAGCTCCAAAAAACAAAAATGGCAATGATGATGAATCCAAACCAATACAAAAAGATAGGTCAAGAAGATACTAATGAAATAATCCACAGGAGAGCTCAGTTTCTGATCCACAAGATTCTCCAACGAGCCGACAGAGAGACATTAAGACAGCAACAGAAGAGAACTACTACGATCAAAACGTTGTCCTTTAGAGTGGTCGGGATAAGGATGAAGATAGGGAAGAAGCTGAGGAAGCTAAGGAAGAGTTGTGTAATGGTGGACAAGCATGGTGATCTTATGCCACGTGTTCTCAAATCTCTTAGACGTTATTTCTTCTGTTCCTCTCCTCGAAATGGCTCTATAATCTTCCTCCTCTCTTCGCTCTTCATGTTTGAACATTTTTTAAGAAAAGGAGTTATTTTGTTTTCTTATCATATATTGAATAAATACTCGTCGATGTTAACACTGGTGTAATATCAATTTTTTCTTAGGAGTCTAAACTATATATGAACCGTGTGGGTTTATTCACAGATGATTTTTAACAAATAAGGATCTGGATTCACATTTCATCACCTTCAGAATAGTTCACCCTATGAATTTGTGATAGAGTCTTTTATGTCCTAAATTAAGGGCATATGAATAGTAAATAAGATACTATTGACTACAACATATGATACTAAAAGGTAGCATGTAAGCTAGTGATTTAGATTTGACGTACTTTTTCATGTGGTTATATATTTTAGAAGTTAGTTTAATTGGGACATTTAAAATAGCTTACGTTATGAATTTACGACACATGAGAAAGGCAAAATGGTTTGTGTGAAATAGTGGAATATAAGGTGTACGATTGTCATGTTGACCAAAAAAAAAAAAAAAAAAGTTGTGCGATTCTGAACATGGCCTCAGTGGCTCAGTCCATTGAACCTTTCCTTAAGATTAATTAAGTCGGTAGATGCTTTAGTGCTTTACGAAGCATTTTGATTCCACCCGTTGACTAATTTCATCTTTGTTTGCGTAGGGAAGTTGACTATATATTGTAGCTTCTTAACAAGTTTACATTGTTTATTTAGTTTGTACGATCATTAATTAGATTTCTGACATTCACTCTTATTCTTAAATCTTAATAGAAGCACTCACAATTTGTCTTGAGCTCCTCTTTATTATATAACTCGCGTTTGTCTATTAGGTCTAAGCTTAAATCTTAAGTGTCTAACAAAACAGGAGATACTCGATTGCCATCACAAATGATCCAAGTTCTAGTTAATCGAGCTAATTTACTGAACCGAATTTGAAATCAAATCAAACCAAACCAAAATTATTCATTGAACTAATTAGGTCAAAGTAATTGTAAAACCAAGCTACATTGATATGTTAGTTAACTGTTACATTAACATTCATGATAAATCATTACTTCAAAAACAAGATACATTTAAAAACAGCTTTTACTATAGATTGAGACTAATCCATCAGAATTAGCCAAAAATATTTTTCACACAGAAAAATAAAATCTACTGAATAGTTTCTTTTATGAAAAAAGGATCTTGTTTTCTAAAAACAGATTACTTTTATATAACTTCATTACTAATTCCGAAGAGGCCGTTCCTTGTCGTCCCACATATCCAATCGCTTTCTCGCTTTTTCCACCTAAGCATCGGATAATAAAAACCTTAATAATTTTGACTCACCTAGTGAAACCATATATAACATTTGATAAATGATTGACAAACCGTAATTAATAAGATGTAACTACAACTTCATGTAACATTACCTCTTTATCCCAATCTGCTCGATACGTGACGTAAAGTAAGATGAGTGTTTGCATGAGGGTGCCTCCAATCATCCCGGTCCATATTCCCTATAACCAAAATCACATGCATACAAAACAAGTCTTCTTATTAAATAGATAATAATAAACCATATATTATACAGAAGAAAATATTTGGAAACGAACCTTGGCTTGAAAATTGAAAGTGAAGCCGAGAATACATCCAACAGGAATACCAACAACATAGTAACAACCAACGTTCACATATGCCACGTATGTTTGCCATCCACATCCCACTGCCACTCCTGCAAACAACACCAAACCGATATCTTTTAGGTCCGGTTCGATTAAGGTGCTACCAGTTATTCTCTAGTTTTAATCTAAATGAACGTATACCGGACAAGACTGGTTGGATTCCGTTGAGAATGATGGTGACGGCGAGAAAAGGGCAGAGATCAGAGACGGCTTTAGCCACGTCAGCATCTGACGTGAAAATGTAGCTGACGTTATCACGTGAAGCAATCACGACAAGTGCCTCCACGACGGAGATCACGAAGGAAACAAAAGTTGCTGTCCATGTAGAGAACAACACCGATTTCGGATTTCCTGCTCCAAGCTCATTACTTGTACGTACACTGTCACATTTCATTTTATTTTATTTTATGATTTCAGTAACGTTTGATGAATAATCTGAGTATTAATTAAGAAATAATACTAACCTTACAGCTGCATTAAAGCCGACGGAGACCATGAATGATAATGCTGAAATTGACATACTGCCAAACAAAAGAAAAAAAAACAAATGATACTTCAAAGAAAATTACTTGTTAACGTTTCAATCTTTGTTTAAATATAAGTGCATCTAAAAATGGTCAAGACCTCAACCAAAAATGATCCAAACACTAAAAACAAGTATATGAAAATTTAATCTTAATAAATGGACTTACCATATAGATAGAGAATCTAGAGAGAGTGCAGGATCTTTTAGCAAACCGGCGAGGAGAACCAGAATCTGTGTATACCACAATTCCAAACAGATCATTACAGCAGAGCCAGCAGACAGTTTAAAGAAGCTCCAAAGACCATGGAGAGATTTCCAGCTAACACCAGTCCAAGTGTCTTTAAACCTTACGCTAACTATAATGTAAGACGTTTGGGCTCCAACAATGACCCACCAAGAGATAGTAAGAACATAAGATATACCCATGAGGCCTTGGCCCATTACGTAAACGGTGATCCACGTCAGCGATATCTGGAGGAGGAGTGCGGCGGCTGAGATGTACGCGCTGGGAGCCACCACGCTTTGGGCCTGGAGGAACTTTTGGGCCGTGAAGTAGACGGCGTAAGCGAAGATTTGAGGGATGAGTCCGGCGATGTATAAAGATCCCATGTATGATACCGTTTTGGGCTCGCCTAAGAGGAGAAGAATCGGGTACGAGAAGGTGTATAGTATTGTCATAGGTAAGCCAACTAGAGCAAGGACAATGGTTGCTCTTTGGAGATAGATCCCAAGCATCTCGTATCGATGGGCTCCATAGGCTTGTCCACATAGTGTCTCGACAGCACTACCCATGCCCAACTATATAAAAAGAAAACATTTAAAAATGCCAAAAAAGCTAAATTTTTTATTTTCTTTGACATATCATGAAAGAGAATCATAACGAAAAACGATTTTTTAGATAAATATTTTTTGTAAACTACAAAATTAGCCAAAAGTCTCTACAAATTAATTATAATTATTATTTTATCGATAAATTAATATCTCTATAAATTAATAGAATTTGACAGACATTATTAATGTATAGAAATTTTAGTGTAGTTAATTAAGTTAACCAATCACAGTCTTTTGCCCAAACTAAAAAAAAAAACCAATCAGAGTCTTAGTTTTAAAACGTTAATAAATTATTTTGGTGATCCCATATTAATTTATTAACGTCATATAAAAAAGAATTATCAGCTCTGTCCCAAGTCTCCACACATATGTAAGGTAAACGTACCATGAGGGCATAAACGAGACTAAAGCAGCTGTTTCCGATGGACGCGGCGGCGAGTTGGTTACTGCCGATATGTCCGGCGAAGATACGAGCGGAAATACCCATTCCACCGTTGATTAAATAGACAAGTATCGCCGGAAGTGCCAACCGGAAAAGTAGTTTCAACTCTATACACACGCCTAAGTACACACGCCTCCGGTAAGGCAAGCTACTATCCGTTAACACGCTTTCGAGCCCGACCTCCAATAGAGGTTTCTTCTCCGTGTCCACCAACGGTTGCCGGAGTTCGACTCTCTCCACCGTCTCATTTGACACCTTCATAGGTTATTATTTGTTTTAACGTCTACGTTAATTAGGTTATGAAAAGTTTTACGAGGAAAGGGTTGTTTATATAAAGGCTGAGGAGTAAATTGGGTGGAGAGTGACGATCGGTTTGGTTTTAAGATAATCAAAATGATCATAAGAAAAACAAACCGTTTTGTGTTTTAAAATAGGAGACTCTACTACATGTAGAAAAAGTCTTCTTGAACTTTGGTGTTTGAATTTTTCTTTTTCAAATGGAACTAGAAAATTAGAGTGCGATACGAGACCGTCGGTGTGGTCCAAGGAATAAGACAAGATAAAATATTGTAAGTTGTTATATAAAACAATAGAATGTAGATTTTCTTTACAAGAATATTAAAATGTAAAGCAAAAACAATAAACACCCTAATATTAATACAAACAAATTGCAGTAGAACAAAAGTATATAGCTATGTCTTATATAAAGTTTGACGCCAATTTAGGCCAAGACTCATAACAAGTCGGTCAACAAAAATCAACTTTTGTGTTTGTTTTTTAAGTGGTCGATTAATATATAAGCCGTTCACTCGCGTAATTTATAAGGTTGTGCAAAACAGACTTTATCAGCTCAATGACTTAATGAAAAGATTATTTGAAAGTAGAATTGCATCGTTAATCAACCTTTTCCTTTTAGCTTCTTTTTTCTGTCTTGAGAAATCAATAATTCTATATCCTTCCATGTTAATTAATATGTCGAATAATATATTCAATATTTTTCGTAATAATAAATCTTTTAAAAACAATCTAGTGACTATTGTTAATTATATTGGTGCTGAAGACAGTGGATCGATTTTGATTTATACGTAATATTTTTTGTCACTTTCCAAGGTTGACTAAATTTATTTTTGTTTGCTTAGGAAATTTGCCTATTATAGTCTTTTTAACTATACATTTATTTTGTATGAATCATGCATCATGGATTAGATAACTGACCCTTCACTATAGTTATTAATAGTGGCACTCATAATTTGTCAAGAGCTGCCCTTGTAACTCGGATATTTTGAGTAGAGAAACTTTATTTTGTCAAGTATATGTATTAAACGAATTTAAATGGAATGATGGCATATCGACAAATAATCATCCACTAAACTACAATGTACTGGTAAAAGAAAACTGGATAGCTATGTCACATTGATGTGCTACTTTACTTACTACACCATTACCAATTACATCAAAATTCCATGATAAATAATTTAATTACTGTCTAATAAGAAAAAGACATAATATAGTTCAATTTGAGAAAGGAAACAAAAAATCAAATGTAAGAACAATTTTAAATAAAGAATTATCCATCAGATAATATATTTTTTTCCTATAATATGAGAAAAAGAAAATCTGGTGAATTTGTTCTATTTCCATAGAACAAGCTGCACAACCATGAAAACCTACGTACATTGAAACCACCTGCACACACCACACTTATTTCCTTTTCATTATTGATTATTGTCTTTCTTCTTCTTCCTTTTTTTTTTTGCCAACACCTTTTATTTCTTTATTGTCTTTCACTCTTTCACTCCCCACACTTGTTATAACCTGAATATTAAGTATCAGATTGTTAGATTTGAGTATTAACTATTTCAATATATATTTATATTTTTGTATAATCCCTTACTAGCTTTGGAGAGGCTCCTTCTTGTCCTCCCACATATCCAAACGTTTTCTCGCTGTTTCCACCTAGATCATTATACAATAATAATCTTAATATTTTCGACAAACCCTTCGAAATCAAATTCAGCTTATACTATATGATAGTTAAAACATATGATGTAACTTAATTTCATGTAACATTACCTCTTTATCCCAATCTGTTCGGTACGTGACATAAAGTAAAATGAGTGTTTGCATGAGGGTACCTCCAATCATCCCGGTCCATATTCCCTATAACCAAAGTCCACATTAGTTATTTCTATTAAGCTGATAATAACAAAGCATATTGATATTACTAATACTATACATAAAATATTTGAAAGCGAACCTTGGCTTGAAAATCGAAAGTGAAGCCGAGAATACACCCAACAGGAATACCAACAACATAGTAACAACCAACGTTCACATAAGCCACGTATGTCTGCCATCCACATCCCACAGCCACTCCTACAAACAACACCAAACCGATATTTATTTGGTCCAGTTCGGTTAAGGTGCACCAGTTAATTTCTCTAGTTTTAATCTAAATGAAAGTATACCGGACAAGACAGGTTGGATTCCGTTGAGAATGATGGTGATGGCAAGAAAAGGACAGAGGTCAGAGACGGCTTTAGCCACGTCAGCATCTGACGTGAAAATGTAGCTAACGTAATTACGAAACCAAATCACGGCGAGGGCCTCCGTCACGGAGATCACAAAGGAAACAAAGGTCGCGGTCCATGTAGAGAACAATGCTGATTTCGGATTTCCTGCTCCAAGCTCATTACTTGTTCGTACACTGTCAATGTCATAGTATTTTAAATAAAACATTGATTATGATTTAACTCGATCGAGCAATGTTTGGTTGATAATCTGAAATTGATTAAGAAACAAATACTAACCTTACAGCTGCATTAAAGCCAACGGAGACCATGAATGATAATGCTGAAATCGACATACTGCGAAAAATAACAAGAAAAAATAGTTAGATAAAAGAGAAGTATCAAGATCAGATACTAACTAATTAATGGACTTACCAGATGGAGAGAGAATCTAGAGACCGAGCAGGATCTTTGAGCAAACCAGCAAGAAGAACAAGAATCTGCGAGTACCACATTTCCAGACAAATCATAACGGCGGAGCCAGCAGAGAGTTTAAAGAAGCTCCAAAGACCTTGGAACGATCTCCAGCTAAGACCAGTCCACGTGTGTCTGAACTTGGGACTAACTGCAATGTAAAAACACTGGGATCCAACAATGACCCACCAAGATATAGTAAGAACATAAGCTATGCCCATAAGACCCATGTCCATTACATAAACGGTGGTCCACGTCAGCAAGATCTGAAGGATGAGAGCGGCGGCTGAGATGTACGCGCTCGGGGCCACCACGCTTTGGGCCTGGAGGAACTTTTGGGCCGTGAAGTTGACGGCGTAAGCGAAGATTTGAGGAATGAGTCCGGCGATGTACTTGGATCCCATGTACGATACCGTTTTGGGCTCTCCTAGTAGGATTAGAATCGGGTACGAGAAGGTGTATAGTAATGTCATGGGCAAGCCAACAAGAGCGAGGACTATTGTTGCTCTTTGGAGATAGATCCCAAGCATCTCGTAACGATGGGCTCCATAGGCTTGCCCACATAGTGTTTCGACTGCACTGCCCATACCTAACTACAAAAAACACATGAAAAAGGCAAAAAGAGAAACAAAAAAGTAGTTACATAGATTGCTTTTTGTTGAAAATTTTAAAAGATAAGAGAATAAAAAGACATGAGTGATTGTGCATAAATAACTAATGACAAGACACGATGAGCACATTTCATGAGGAAAAAAGTAAGAGGCATGTAACGAAAGATTAGTCTGCTAAACCTACTGCAAAAGCTCTATATGTGGACAACATTTCCACCACATACCTTAGATACTCGTATATGAACATTAGTGTAATTTTTTATAAACACAAGACTAAGCATTAATTATTTATCAGAGATAGAACCAATTTTCGGAAAAACTTACCCAAAATTATGTATAAACAATTTGACTAAATTCTTTAAATATTTTTGGCCACCTTAAATGTCAATATAAATTTCTTTTAGTTTTCTATTTTAAAAGCTATAATCAATCTCAAACCTATATGATTCAGACATCTCTAAATAACTCACACACTAACGTTTGTAATTTGTTTTTCTCTTTTCATTTTGATATATAGGCAATTGGTAACTGTTTCGTTAAAACAAGCTTAGCATTTTCTATTAAATGCAGAATTGTTCACCAATCACCACTATTACCAAATTGTAACCATCAACCATAAAAGAAATCCCGCATCATTTTCATTAGTTAGAAACTTAGAATACTGTTCAACAATTAAGGCATAAATTAATAAATATTACTATACTGCAAATTGCATGCAAAAGTATATAATTTGGTGATATTGAAGATGGAAAACTTTAAGAAAATTATTTTGATATTCCTCCCCGGCCCCGATTGAAAGGAAATTTAAAAAGAAGAAAGGGTGCAGAGTCATAATTAAATGGTCAAACTAAGAAATGAATTTTTAGACTTATTTAAAAAATTGTTATACTATCGAGAATTGGTGGGAAATGAAGAAAATTTCAAAAGAATAAATCATACAAGCTGTAGTCATTAGGCAAATAATCGTGACCATCTTAAGTTAGCTTTAATTATCTAATGTTATCTCACGAAACGAGGACAGTTGTTTATCTTAATATACTTCACTTTTTTTCCTTTTTTTACTCAACTAGTTATCGTGATACGAACCTTTAACATTAAATATCGAATGCAAAAATCAAGAATTAATATTTAATAATATCATCGTCTCTGATGAGTCGTTGACATTAAACATACCATGAGGCCATAGACGAGACTGAAGCAGCTGTTTGCGATGGACGCGGCGGCGAGCTCATTTTTACCGAGATGTCCGGCGAAGATACGAGCGGAAATACCCATTCCGCTGTTGACTAAATAGACAAGTATCGCCGGAAGTGCCAACCGGAAAAGTAGTTTCATCTCTATGCACGCTCCTAAGTATACGCGCCTCCGGTACGGAAGGTTACGCTCCGTTAAAACACTCTCTAGTCCGACGTCCGCCGGAGGTTTTCGCTCCGAGACAACTGGAACCACCAATGGTCGCCGGAGATCGGCTAGATTCGTGGTTTCACTTGGCCCTTCCATAGTTTGTGACAAGTTTTACAAAGAAAGGGTTTTGTCTATATGATAAGACTGAGGAGGAAATTTGGAGATTTGAGGATCGTTTGTGGGGTTTTTGAAATAATCAAAATGAAGCTCTTTAATGTGTTATAAATAGAGATTGTTCACGTAATAAAAAAAAGTTTTATTGGAAATGGGTATCTTTTTTTTTTAATCTTTTTTAGTTTCATAAATGGAACAAGAAAATCAAAGAGCGATCTGATCCAAGAAAAGAAAAACCTAGTGTAGATTATTCACATTAAACAATAGAACGTGTTGCACACAAAAAAAAAAACAATATAACGTAGAAGATCTTTAAAAATTCTATAAAGTAAGAGAAAAAAGTAGAAAGTCCTAATATTAGGTAAACAGATTGCTCCCATGGGCAAAAATTAGAAAGCTCAGTTTTACGCTAGAATACAAAGAGAGAATCATAAATATTTGACTACTCATAAGCATACAATAATAATAATCAAAAGAATGACTTGCAAAATAAACTATACTACAAGAAATGTGATTTTTATTGGTCGACATAAAATTTAATTCTCATTTATTAAGCAAAACGACACTAACAATTAATGGTTAAGTTATAGCTGACAAAAAACATAATCTTTACACGGTTTAATAAGAAAGTGAAATTTTATTCTCTTACATAATCCAAAATTAGAACTTTTTCACACAAAAGCTGTTACCATAGTGATTTCATTTGGTAAAAATATATGGTTGAGTACTGTTTGCTAAGGGCATCTCCATCCATGAGAAACCCAAAAGAGTATCTCAACTAAAAACTATTCATATTTTAATATAATTTAGTTATATAATTAAATTTTAGTTATAAAAATAAAATTGACCAATGTACAAAAGACTCTTCTTCTTCTCTTTTTCATTTTTTATTATTTTTTTATATTTTTTTATTAAGGAGTTGTCTCTCGTTAAAAGACCTTCAATGTAAATGATCTAATGGGAGTAGCTGCATAACGTAAGTTTCTCTCCCTAATAATATCGAATTGATAAGTTCATTTAATTTATAGTTGTTACCATGACGGTAATAATTTATATATTAATCAGAGTAAATTTAACGCCTGAAAAAAGTTATCACTATATTCCCTAAGAGTAAATTACATAAATTACATTAATTGGTATTATTTTTATAAGATATGCTTATCATTTAAAGAATTGTTCAGCATTATATGACTAAATTGTAACTAGTAAGTTAACAAAATCGTGCCTAGTAGTTGACCTCAAAAAAAAATCAGTTTTCCTTTAATTTTTTTAAAGGAGAAACGGTACAGATTCATAAGACAAAGTAAACGAATAAAATACCTAATCATTAAATGGTAAGAACAAATTAGGAAAAAAAAAAAGAAAAAAAAAAAAAAAAAGAACAAATTAGGATATAGGATAGAAAGACAGCATCGTTACAGGCTGTTATCCTTGGCGAAATAAACGTGGTTAGCTTTTAGGTTAGATTGCACACACAAAACAAACAAAGCTTTTAGGGTAATAGTAGGAGCTAGTACCCACAAAACGAGAAAATCTTTAAATTTAAAATTTCCAACTAATTATAATGGTGGCCATTTATCTCACTAAAAATGCGAGAACGCTTATAACGAATGAATAAAATTAATAATACCAACATATCTACTCGCATGTATATGGTAGCGTAAAACGTACCATAAGTCCATAGACGAGATTGAAGCAGCTGTTTCCAATGGACGCGGCCGCGAGTTCTTGACTACCAACATGTCCGGCGAAGATACGAGCGGAGATACCCATTCCGGAGTTGACTAAGTAGATAAGTATCGCCGGAAGTGCCAACCGGGAAAGTACTTTCATCTCTATACACGCTCCTAAGTACACACGCCTCCGGTACGACAAGCTACTCTCCGTTAACACGCTCTCGAGCCCGACCTCTGAAAGAGGTTTCACCTCTGTGTCTGCCGGATTTACTAAAGGTCTCCGGAGATCGGTTGTCTCCACCGTCTCATTTGACACATCCATAAGTTTAGTTTTTTTTTTTTTTTGGTTTTAACTTTTAAGGTTATAGACTTATATTTTTGAGAACAGAAGCAAGAAAATGGTTTGTTTATAAAAAGACTTGAGGAAATATGGGTGGACATGTGGGGTTTTTGAAATGATCAAAATGAAGATAAGAAAAATAAACCCTTTTTGTGGTGTGTTATAAATTGGGATCGTAGACGTAGAAAGAAGAGAAAAAGAAAACTCTTATTGGAAAATGGGTTTATGCTATTTATAGGTAAAAAGAGAGCAATAAAAAGTAATTAGACACAATGCACAGAATATAACTGAAATGATTCTAATAAAGAAATACTACAAAATCTAATAAATTAATATCATTAGACATTAATTTACCAATATATTATTATATAATTATATATACTCGTATTATTTTAAACAGAACTGAACTACGTCACTTATCAAAGTTAGATTTGATTATTTCAAGACCTAAGTGTGTTCTAGTGATTTTATTGGATTGATGATTTTTTATGTGGGTCAAGATTAGAGATCGAGTTCCACCATTGATGAACAAGTTATCTGGTTTCAGATGTCTAAAATGGTAATAATATCCACCATTTTACATGCATTAGAGATTAGAATAGGTTTTGACTCGAGGTATCCTGTTATAAAATAAAAAAATACTCATTTTGCATAATTAATTGAGATGAAAACTTATAAATTTTGTGAATACTTAAAACTATAGATATCCAAAACTCATGATTCAGAAAATTTACAAACGCTATGCATTTTTAGATACTTCACTCGTTTCCATCTCCATAAATTTTGAATCAGATAAATTTACAAACGCCATAAGGTAATTCGGTGAACACTGACGGACAAAAGTAATCAAATTATAAAGAAAAGGACTATTTGTTATAATTTATAAACTATAAAGTGTCACAAGCGTGAAGAAAGAAACAATTGAATCTTCTTGCTTTAGTTTTGTTTTTACAACGTGTAAAATGTACGTATAGTTAATTAGTTAGAGTTTAACTAATTTCAAATACCGCACGTGACTGTTAGTACGTTACAGCACTATGTTGGTACCACAAACTCTATACCGTATATATCTTGATGTCGTGCGAAAGACTGAGCTTACTTTATCAATAAAACAATAATTGAGTTATACGTAAAAGATTTGAGATTCAGTGCCTTGAGAGCTACTTGCCCAATACAGCATCATATACGTATATATAAATAAAGGAGATGATCAAATTATCAGATTTTATTTGAATTAAAAAAATTATAGCTATGATCGCGAAATATTACAGAAACTATGGAAAGAACTAAAACTAATTAATAGATTAACAAAATATATGAGTGGGATACTTTGTAGTATAGCTAGCGACATGTCAATTTCAAGTTTTCGACCGATGTATGGTATTTGGCTAAAAGAACGTCACATGCGTCTTTAGAATCTTTTTGCACCCAAAAAAAACAAAAAAAGTCTCTAGAATGCCTGCAACAAATAAGTTGATTAAATTTTGGAATTAAACCCTAAACGTACGAATCAACCCAAAATCTGGAAACCGTAAACACACAAATCAAACTCAAATTTCAACCTAAATATACTTTTGGGAGCATTAAAAAGTGGATATAACCTATGTCGAAATGTTTATGGTCACATAAAAATCAGATACGAATAAATTTATTAGAGTTACCGTCGCCAAAAGATAAAAAAGGAATTAAATAGGACTTTTAGAAGCGAGCGCAAAAAAAAAGGAAGAACAAGATGAGCTTTTCATTTTTAAAAAAAATGTTTAAAAGAAATCACAAAAATCAATATTTTTATATAATTAAGCTTAATAATAACATATGTTAATATGAGATTATCCTAAAAATTAGACACCTCAAACAAAAGTTTTGATGTAGGTACAAATGAAATTAGTCTCCAATTTTATATCATTCAATACAGTTTATTCTTTAGCTTATTGCTAAATTCAAATAGAAAGAGACGAGGAGTATTAAAAGTTAAAACTAACCATTAACCACCATATCATTTTTCTTATAGTATTTCGTAGTCGTAGTACATGTACATTTTGTATACCCATTTTTAGCCTTCATTACTTACTCAAACTCTCAGTAGTTTCCTCTGGTTCCGTAGAATCCATCGTTTCTCATCACTCACATAAATACCGAACATATGTAAATGTCTAACTCTAATATTGCACATAAATAGATATTTAAAATCGATGAGATGAATAAATGATCGTAAGTTATTAGCTATGTTGATATGATAGTGACCCAACAATTGTCAATTTGCTAGCCACGTTTGCCACGAGAAGAGGCATGGTCTTGTCTATTTATTTTTATTTTGTTTCGTTAAAAAAGGTCTTGTCTATTTAGTATTTATTATAAGTTATTCATCTAATCTACAGCTTAATTACACTAACAAACAAAAGCGTTATGAAATCACAAACTCAACTTGGAAGTGAAATCTTCTTACCTACACCAACCTTATTGGGTCCGTGCCATTCAATGATTTATACGTACATAACATTAAAAACAAAAAACTAGTAAATTAATCGTCATTTCAATATGTTTACTTAATTTAAATCAACTTGTTTTTACTACTAAAATAGAATAATATGTTATATTTTTGGATCACTAATTATTTTTAGAGTATTAATTAGTGATCCAAAAATATGGATTAGTCCACTAAGACGTCTCAATTTGTTCGGATTGGGAACCATACAAGAATAATTTAGTCTTCTATTTATCTCCGATGTTCAAACTCGAGAGCTTTCCGAGTCTCCTCTAAACGGATACGGGATATATACAAACTTAACCATTAATAGTCCTCACTCCATACAGATAATTTATAGGTTTAACCTTTATACAAATTTTGACCAAAGCAAACAAAGACCTAAAACCTTGAACGATTAAAAGAAGATTAGTGGGCCTACCTAGACCAAGCAGCTTATTGACTCGACCGAGCTCTCAGCTCTCCCACAGTTAGGAATAAAATAGAGTCCAGTGGGATAAAATAATACCAAAAAGAAGATAACCAAATAATTATCAGGTCATAAGTTGGTCAAGTTTGACATCATAACTTAAAAACTTTAAATTGTTGATGTTGGATATAACCGGTAGGATCACGTTGATTTAAATTTAGTAAATATCATAATAGTGGACAAATTAAAACAAGGAGACAAAATTTATGAACGTCAAGATGAGAATAGGCCTCTTACGCAAGGCCCTCTTTGTGACCAACGATAAGAAGCCACCTTTGGCTTTGAGCACCTAGTTATTCTGCACTCTCAGATCATAACTAACCAGCACAAAATAACAACAGATAAATCCTTTCGGAAGAACCTCTCAGAAGAAACTAAAAAAAAACTGACACAAATTTTGTACCCTCTCTAACTCTCTAACATGGTTTTCGATAAATTAGTTTCTTATTCTATTAATTGTGTCTTCTATTTAACCGTTAGCTTATCGGCTGAGAAAGATTTCGGTTATGAATAATGTGGCAGACACATATTGACGTACATGAACGCAGTCTTATGTTATCATCCTTACAAAATTTAGAAAACATGTGGTTTATAAATAAAAAAATACAAAAAAATAATAATGAAATTAAAGCATTAAAGCATGCCGCATGCGGTACACATACACTTTTTTTTTTTTTGTTAAACTCGGTACACATACACATCTTCTGCCACTATTCACTAATTAAATTTTGAAAATAATAAGGTTCGTCATGCATATATCATATATGGTTAGTACTTATTAAATTTTGAAAATTGTGTAAAATGGTATGCGATAAATTATAAATCAATTCCATATAAATATATTTTAGTCACTCAAAATGTTACAAAAAGTTAGTCAAAATTTAATTTCCATGTCGTATTAATCGTCACCATTATTTTTGTTTTTTCCTGTACCGCTTGTTTTACATGTTGAGTCCATTATGCATATATTCTATTTGTTTCCATGATCTAATCTATTTTAAGTTCAACCGCTTGTTTACTTGTCACCATTCCAATTAATAATGAAAATAATAATTAATTAAAATTTGTTTGCTTTAAGGTATTTGATCTTAATGTGTTATAATATAATATTTATGTGATATATATAACGATTTAATAGTAGAATTTTTTTTTAATTTTGTTTTTGTTTTTTTGTAGGATTTGAATGTGAAACGTTGACATTTTGATGCCAACATGTGAAACGGATAACCATACACACATCCTTAAATTAGTCACGAAAACACAATCCTTTTTAAATTAATTAATATTCTGTTACTCGTATCTACAAACATGCAAGCACGATCGGTTTCAAGGTTCTCTCTGATTAGGTACTAGGTAGTCCTCTAAAGTAGTATATCCTAAACAATTCCCATTAAGACCTCAATCAGTCAATCTCATACAAACTTTTTTTGTCAACATGCTTTCATAAGCCATTGTTTATTGTGTCTTAATCTTACGTGTTTTTTTTTTCTTAATCAAGGAACACCCATTTGGATAAATTACAAACGAAACTAAACTAATTATTCGGTTAAATGATTTTATTTTCTGAATATAAACGAATGAGGACCAATCCGTATCTTAAACACTTCAAAATTAAAATGTTACACAAACTGAAACCATAACGTTACCTAACGTACCGATAAACCATATGCATATATATATATACTCTTATTGCTTTTTGTAAACCCATGCCTTCTGCATGCATGTCATTTAATCGGGAAATTAAAAAAAAAAAAAAAATGTCATTTAATCGGTTCGAAGTATGTGTTTCGATGGATAGTTAATCGAAAGGTGACTGCAAGAAATTTAATTATCATATCGTGGACCCAGGTCCGACCCTAACCCAAAGCCCAACAATTAATAACTAATAAGTTCGAGGGCAGCATTTTGCATAAGTCAGACGTGGTGTTGAGTTCGAACCTAATCCTTGCATTTCTTTTGATGTCTTAAATGTAACTATTTATTAGTGGGCCAAACCCATTTTGTTTGCGTGGACCTATCTGCAGTTATACGTTATTTAACGATTCGCAAAACACTGTTTATGTATATTTATAATGTTTACGAATCTTCACAATTTTTTTTTAAAACAATCTATCAACATCTAGATTTTAGGTGTGATAAATGGCGAAAACAATAAAACAAACAATTCATTAAATCTCAATAAACAAATTAATTACAAAACCAAACATGTGTACATACTTTTTTAATTAGCAAAAATCACCGATCGAGAGG